CATTAAATTAATATGATCAAAGCCAAAAATTAAAGGGGTTTTATACGTATCCACTGATCGAACCCACTTGAGCTAACATCAGCTACCTTTTTGAAGGTGCAGTTCGTTTTTTTCTCTTTTCTTTTACTCACTTTCTTTTACCCCGCTTTTGTTTCTTTGGTAAACAAACACGCAATAAAGGAGGAAGGAAACAAGAAAAAGCCTTTGCCATATCCAAAGTTAGCCCAGTGGAGGCGTTTTCAATTATTATATGTAAAACAGAAAGTGCAAAAAGATGGATCCAACCGATGTGGAATGCAAAACTAAGAGAAGGAGTGAAAAATACTAGCTTTTTCTACGTGTACTTGCCAGGGATTTCCATGTAGCTCGTGCGTGCCAACGAGGCACCACTTGTGTACTCCTATTCAACACGTGGCAAACGTCACACCCCGCGAGTAAAAGAGAAGACTTCCATGTTAGTTAGCTTGGAAAAAGAGAGAGCACCAAAGAAGAAATTTTCAAGTTAAGTATTACAACCCAAAAAAAAAAAGAAAAAAAGGAAATGAAAACATGAACTTGAAAAGTGGGGAGCTTGTTCGGACCACCTGAATTTGCTTAAAAGAAAAAGAGGCAATGTTGAGAGCCCCCCACTAAGAAAAGAAATGTGTTATTTTAGGGTCATTTTCAGTTTTTCACCATTATAACATTTACTTAATGTGCTGGATTAATTGCTTCAAAGGTTATTATCAGATCATATCATCTCAAATTAATACTTGATGACACGTATCATGAATGTGCATGTACAAACCAATGACAATTAGTCAATGGATTGTATACATTAATTAATCTAAATTAAGGCATTGAACTATTGAATTTTGATACTATATATAATAACTCTTTTTATATATGGATAAAAAAAATTTAATGTAAAATCTAGTAATTAATATTTAAGGTCATAGAGTTCATCAATCCAAAACAAATTTGTTGAAGATAATATTCATAAATCTAACAATTATCGAATTTGAAGCTTAATTTAATTAATGTATATCATCACTCAATCACCTATAAAAGTAACATTTGATTGAATAATTTCCTTTTTAATCCTCAAATTATATTTTTATTTTTTAAAAAAATTTAGTAATTAATAATTAATATCACGAAATTCATCAATCCAAGATAAATTTATTGAAGATAATATACATAAATCTTAATAATTATCTCATTATTAATTCAATTACTTCGTGCAATCATTTATAAAAATTACATTAAAGTATTTGAACAACTCTTTTTATCTTTTCCTAAAAATTTACTAACGATTTAAATTTAATGCCAGAATGACACAAATAATTAGATCAATACCAATCAACTTAAGTCTGCAAAACTGTCCTTTATTAAGTCAATTTAGATAAACAACCTTAAAGTTTAACCAATTTTCTAGACAAAAGGACACTATTTTTCTCGGAAGGTTAGTGAAAACAGATATCATCGTACTTCTACTTTTGTTGCGCTTCTGTTGTTGTTATTTATTGCAAGTTATTGCTTCATATATGTATATTTTAAACTTGCCGGCCATCAAAGTTTTCTTTTTACTATAGCAATGTGTAGTTGGTCGAACAAGGATAAAAGCAGCTGCTAGGGATATATGAATCATAAATGTCATTTTGCAGGTCCATTACCAACCAAAATCAATTTCATTTCTTAAATTAACGATAAAGCCGAAGATCAAAGGTTCGTGTGTGCCTTTTTTTAACTCTTTTCTTATATTTCTATACTTCTATCACATGATTCCATAGAATTTTCATGCAAACAATGAGTCCTATTAATTGATTTTATTTTATTAATTTTTTGCCTACACATCTTTCATACATCTTTTCTATTTTAGATTTATTTGATTAATTAAAATTAAAAAGTGGAGTTGAAAGATAGTTCTCTTTGGTTATAAGTTATAACAAGTTGACGATTAATATAGCAACTAACATCATAACAAGAACAAAGATAAGAATCTGTGATATATGTATTGTTCTATGCTATTACTTGACAGTGAGAACCCTGGCAAAGACTCCAGGTTTTCCAGGCTGGAGTCAATGGCTCAATAAGACAAGGGACCTTGTCTCATCCTTCAGATCATCGTCGGTTAATCCAAGGCTTTACCTACCCAAATGGGACTTTAGTAAAAGTGATCGAAGATAAAGAACAAACAAAAAAAATAGTTGTATATAATGTGGACCTAATCATGACAATATTTGATGGCATTTTTAAAGAAGAAGAAGAATATGGACACCATTATTGGGGCTAAGTTCTAGATATATGGACACCATTTTGAAGAACTTTTTTTTACCCCTAAACTTCCAATTTAAGCAAAACCCTATTTGATTAAAAGATAAATAGTACCAATTATCAAGTTAAATATTGTTTTTTTTTTAATCTTCGAAATGTTAATTTGATAGAATTAGGGTTAATGAAAGTGCAGAACAGTGAAAAACCCTCTTCACGGCACTGAAGATTCAAATTTTGATCATGTTTTGTCTAGCAAAAATTAATATAAGTATAATCTTGTCTTTTGCATAGACAATCTAATGAACATGACCAAGGTAAAAGGTAATACTAATAAAAATCAGTGAAGAGAAAGGCAAGGACAAAATGTTTAATGAAATAAATACAATGACGAGCTGTTTAGGAGTTAGCCGGTCTCCAATACTGCACTCCTTATAATATCTTTTTCTGCATCCTAATTTGCCATTACAAACATTTTATTATTGTATATTTTCATAAAAAAAAAATCGCAATTATCTGAAAATAAATTTTAAAAAAAAAGTTATAAGTGAAAAAAAACTAGAAAAAAAGGTTCAATGAATCTTTAGGGAAACCCTAATTCAAACCAAATGAGGAAAATGACTGAAAATGGCTTATCAAGAATTGTATATAGCTAACTTATAAAGAACACACTGATAAAAGTCTACTAGTTAATTACATCCTATGTAACATATTAATGCTTGAATTGTGGTCCTTCTTCTTCCTTTGTTTTTAATTAAACTTTTTTCGCTCTCTGGTAATGATTAATGTTTATTAATTAATTTTTCTTAGGAATTTAAATTAAATTAAGAAAGATTCGTGATGTAATGGAAGCGTCTCTGCTAAGTAAAGTTGAGCAGAAAGCCACAATCTAACCACTTTATTTCTATTCTAAGTGTAGCTGATATTTGTCGCATATAGAAGAAGAATATCCATTTAGAAAAAATATGATATATATTTTTTGGTCATCCATTTTTATTATTAGGTTTTGGGGAAAAATTTTGTTAGCTGATGCTCTGACCCTCTTTCAACTGGTTTGGCTCTCCCTTTCTTTTTTTTTTTCATTATTTCCAATACATTTTCATTCATTATTCACAAGTATGATTTTCAAAATTCATGAATGCGTCTTATGCACGTGATTAGTAATGATAAGTATATTAAAAAGTAATAAACGTGAGATCAATCCCTTTATGGCAACCGATGATTATTTTAAATTGATAATTGTACGTTTTTCAATATTAATTCTAACCCATTGCCATTAAGGGGAACTGATCTATTGGAATTAATTAAAATTAATGGTACTTTAAGCAGTCCTTTTTTTTTTTTTTGAGATTTAAGGCATAATTTTTTTCTGGTAAGAGCTTATTCCTATAGGATATAAGGCATAATTTGAACAATTGACAATATTTAGTTGACTGATTAAAAATTCTAATTAAAATATTACTAATATTTTGAACTCTTGAGTCAAATTCCCAATGAGTAAGTATTTTTATTATAAAAAAACCCTAAACATTTTCTAATTTCTTATTATTTCTATTTACATACTATAATTTTCCTTTTTACATTTAAAAAAATTTACAAAACAACAAACTTTGAGAGACTTTGATTTCTGGACAAGTGATAAAGAATTCAACTAGCCTAGCTTGCTTAAAAATAAAAAATTTTAATTAGTTAAACAAAATTCATTTGCAATATAAGATAATGTCACATGGCATCCAACTTGTATATTAATCGAAACATGTGCAAGATAACTTCCTCTTAAGCTTACTCAGAATTATAATAAAGAAGAGAAAAGTAACAAAAACAAAAAACACGAAGCTATTGCTAATTAGTGGACAAAGAATAAAATAATTTGGAGTACATGCTTTCCAATCTCCAAAGTATATTTCTGCCTACCTAGAAAAGTGAAGTTAATGAAATGACATATTAACCGCTAATTAATATATTTACTATTTTGAGTTAATAATTATGTGATTTGTTGATAATTTATTAAATTTTTATTTTTAATAATTAATAATTTTTGTAAAAAATTATTATAAATATAATAATGATACAAATTTCATACGCATATGATGATACAGAAATTAAATTAAAAATATATATGAAATATGTGCATGTCAAATACAGCTAAGCTATGTGTACGTAGCACTTCTTTTTGTACAACTGTTAATCTAATACAACTAAGCTATTAGCAATCAAAAGATTAGATTTTCTTCTTTTCTTGAACACTAACTTTTGAAAATCATCTATGATAAACTTGAAACCCAAATATTTGAAGTTATCTTAAACACCCCAAGTTGTCAGAGTAAAAAATGTAAAATAAAACAGGCAGTTATAGTTTTTGCTAGAAAAGGTTAGTGGCGGTTAAAAAATTTGGAAAAGATTTGGCTATTTTCCTTTTCACCACAGAATCCAACGCTCCTAATTTTGGACTAGAAAAATGGTGCTGCAACAAGAAAAAAATGGGGTCCACCCTTGTTTGGGTTATTAAAAGAACCAAAAGAAAAAGTAAGAGAGAGACAAAGAAAAGATAGTGACCAGAAAAGAGAGAGAATAGGTTTTGTTTTGGTTTGGTTTGGTTTGTTTTTTTAAAGCTTTTTTTTATAGTGTTGTGTGGTACATAGTACAAAATAATTGCATGAAAACTGAAGCTGATTGGTAAGTGGCGTGTAGTTGCATTACATTTGTACACTTGCATCGGCCGTATCTCTCTCTCTCTTTCTTCAACAGTTTCTTTCTAATTCTTTTGCTTGAAATTGTACCGACATGGCTCCTAACATATGGGGTTTATCTGCCTCTGTCTACTACTAAGAAACTACTCTACAACCTGCTTCTTCTGTTAATCTTACTCTTATGTGAGTACTTCTCTTTGTTTTTTTTTCTCTTTGAAGTTTCTGGTTATCATCATCACAATCTTCTCTTCTTCTTTGTCTCAGTCTCTGATTACTTCTCTCTGTTTGTTTTTTCTTTTGTTTACCCTTTGCTCCATCAAGGTTTTTGGTTTTGTCCTTTTTACCCAATTGATCTTTGTTTTTAGCTGTAGGGTTTGGCCCTTTTTGTATTTTCTATGGCTTTTTTTTTTTCTGGGATTTTATGTACTGTATAGAAAACCCAAGTTATTGTTTTACAAAGAGTGACCTTTGATGATGGAGAACCCCTTTTCCTTGTTAGTTTTAATTTTTGGATCAAACTTTGATGGTGGAGCCTATTTCTATAAAACCTTATTGGAGATGTTTGATTGGATTTCTCCTTCCATATTTTTATATAAAAAGAATAGCAAAATATTTTGATGTATGTTTAATTGCATATTTTATATTGCAGGAACTAATTGAACTATAGTTTATTACAAGGGGGGCGCCACTGCTGAGATCAGTTTGAGAGGTAAGAATGGCCATGCAAACTCGGTATCTTAAAGAACATGATGGGATTGCTCATAATCCCATGGGGCAGACGGCACCAGTACCATCACTGCCTTGGTGGAGTGGGTTAGGATCTCAATCCGTTTATGGGGAGTCTTGTGGCCAATTGAAGCCTTTGTTGATGGAACATCCGTCTACTGGAGACCAAGTTACTTCTACTAAACAAGCTTGGAGGGGTACTGAACAAGGACTCAATAAAGGAAATCCTACTCAGTTCACTATATTCCCTGGTATAATCTCATCCCAATTTTTAGGTTTACCACTTAAAATCTTGTATTTTCTGTTATTAAGTTTGCTTTATCCAAACATTTATATGCCTGACGTTATTTTGTTAGAGAAAGGTCTTCATTTCCATATTTCTTCTCTTCTTTTCTCTTGGGAGCTGTTCTTGAGCCTTGACTTGAAACAAGGAAAAGGGTGAAGACAGTACCCAGAGAGTTATTAGATTTGAAGGTTGTCTAGAAATGCAATATGAAGATCAATTATATTATATCCAGCTTGTTATCACAAATTGGTTAGAGATAAGATTGTGGCAGGCAGAGTAAAATTTGTGGCCTCCAAAGTTGTTGAAGATATAAGTTTATCGTTTGGGCTTATTTAGTTGGATGGAAGTCATTTTCAAGATTGATATTAATACAAGTTTCAATCAAGGCAAGAGAGCTTGTAGTAGCAAGGTTGGATCCCTCCCCACCAGCCTTGTTTTAGTCTTTTGCAAATCTTCTAGAAAAGTAATATCGTAGGAAATAGATGTAAAATTCTTTAACTTTTGAACGTGTGAATGCTCCTTTTGTAATATTAGATAAAGTAGTTAGAAGCTGCACCGAAGTTGCAGGATATTGGAAACTTAAAGGACAAGGCAACTTAAAGCATCTTTAAGTGAGTCTATAAATTTCACTTCTTCACTTTGAAAAGTTTTTCACATAATTTTGAGTTAAATAATCTTCATGAATCAGGTAATGCTGAAATGAAATTAAGATTAAGGGCACTTTTTGCTATCTATAAGGAATTTCTAACAGTGTTCATCGAGTACAATTTATGAGGTGCAAAGAATGAACATTCCCAGGTTATGTCAAGATTAATGATTCATCAACTTGTGTAAGTTATAACTTGAGAGTTAAGACAGAAAACGGCTAAATGCAAGCTAAGAGTTGGGGTGTCTGCAATTTGTGATGACGCTTTAGGATTCACAGCTGCTTGTGGAGACCAATTCTCCAATAAGGAACATTGTGAGACTTGTTAGCATCAAAGTCGAAAGTTATTAGAACTTTAGGCACTTGACTATGATTAGTTTATGCTAAGGATATTCTTTGAATTTGATCATTATGTTGGATCTTTGGAGAACGCAGCCTGTAAAAGCTTTTGTGCATAATTATGCAACTAAGTTAATTATAAAAATAGTAGAAGATTTCCTTGGTATTCAAGAGTTGTTTATTCTGCCCTGTACCCAGGAACAAAGCAGTACTTGCTCAAAGAATAGAGCACCTTCAGGTGAAGGTTAAAACTGCTGCTTGCGGCATGGATTGTTATTAAACTTGAATATTTGAGCTTCTTTACCTTCCATCAACTCAGAATTCAATGAAGAAAAAGATGATTATGTAGTAATAGGTGGTTCTTTCTAGCCTGGCAGCCAGGGTTAATGTTGGCTTTAGTTCTCTCCATTTTTCCTATCATCTAATGGAGCCCATTGAAGGGTTAAGTATTTTTTCTTTATGCCCTCTTTATGCAACTCGCTGAAGGATTTTTTTTTTTCATCCAATGCAGCATGTGTAATGTTCTACAAATTTTATGCTTTACATTGTAACTTATGTTGGTTCATTTGTGTGGTAGAAAAGAGCAAAACAACCACCAATTCCTAGCCTTTACGGGATTTATCAATGTACTGACTATTCTTAACCAGCCAAGTGGTTTCCCTTTCAGGTGGTTGCAAAAGTTCGGGGGATGGACAAAAACCTCAGGCAGTCATCTCTTTGCAATCAGCTCCGTCAGAAAATGGTGCTCGCTTTGAACTAGGATTTGGTCAGCCTACGGTAAATATTTCCCAGAAAATTTCTTCCATAAGCTGATTCTCTTCACTTTGCTACTTTAGTTAATAATTTTGCTCCTTGCAATCTCCAACTGTAGGTCTGTGCAAAATATCCTTACATGGATCAATGCTATGGAGTTTTCTCTTCTTATGGACCTCAAATTTCGGTTTGTCTTCCATTATCTCTAGCTAACAAATTCTCTGGATTTACGCCATCGCCATTATATCATCATCATGATTACAACAACAATAAATTAAACATTATATTTTATAATTCTAGGGTTGGTCATATGAAAAGTCAAAAGCCGTAATTTTAAATTTTCTTGCACCACTCATTTTTATCAAAAACAAACTTTGCATCTACTTTCTTAATTCTTATATCATTTTTTATGACTTACATCCATGTTTTTTGTGGTCTATCTCTAGAAAGTTTGATTTCTTCCAAATCTAAAAGCTTATTTCTTCTAATTGGTGTACAAATAGGCCCACGCTTCACATATCCAAGTCATCTCAAATGGCCCTCTCTCATTTATTAATCAATTCGCACTACCCCTAATTTTTCTCGAATATCTTTATTTATGATTTTGTCTCTTCGAGTCTTACCATACATCTATCTAAGTATTTGCATTTTAGTTACACTCATTTCCTTCTCATATTATTTCTTAATGGCGTAACACTCAGTCCCATATAAAAGTGCAAGCCTTATAGTTATTTTATATAACTTTGCCTTTAACTTTAAAAGTATTTTGCGATCATACAACACAGTCAATGTACTTTGCCACTTTACTCATTCTGCTTAAATCCTATGATTTACATTCCTTTCTATCTCGATATCGCTTTGAATAATAGATTCCAAATATCGAAAATGATTACTCTTTGGCACTATCGCACCATCCAACTTAATTACATTAGCACTTGTTTCCTTATGACTACTATACTTACATTCCATATATTCAATTTTAGATCTACTCAATTTAAAACCTAAAAATTTTTACGTTTGCCTCCATAATTCTAATTTTGCATTAAAATCATCCATAATTTCAACAACTAAGATTATATCATCGGCAAAACATACACCATAGCACTTTGTCTTGTATATGTCCAGTGAGCTCATACATAACTAATGCAAAAAGAAATGGATTTAGTGCTGGTCTTGATGCAATATTGAGGTAATAGGAAAACTATTAGTGAAGGCCCCCGATATCCTTACATTCGTTACAACTCCTTCATACATCTCTTTAACTATGTTAATATACTTTAAACGAGTTCATTTTTTAATTAAGGCCTATCAAAGTATCTCTTAGGGAATTTTATCATATACTTTCTCCAAATCGATAAATAGCATATGTAAATCTTTCTTTCTTGGCCGAAAACCTCCAACAAAAACCTTAATAGGTGAATTGTCTCTATTGTGGAGCATCTTAGCATAAATCCAAATTGGATTTCGAAAATAGTTACATCATATCACAACCTATATTCAATTACTCTTTTTCAAAGTTTTATAGTTTGACTCATAAGTTTTATTTCTTGATAGTTTGAATAATTTTGTATATCACCTTTATTCTTATATAAAGGCACTAAAATACTCTTCTTTCATTCATCTGGTATCTTTTGAGTAAACCTAATTGTTGAAAGATTTGTCAATCATCCTATCCTTATTTCACACAAGTGTTTCTAAATCTCAATTGGGATTCCATTTGATCCTACAATTTTCTTTGCTTTCATCCTTGTCAATGCCTCTTTAATCTCATTCCTTTTAATATTATGTTTAAACACATGATTTATATCTTTAAAAGGAATGTTAAGCTCATCTATATCATGCTCAAATTTTCCATTAAAATGAAAATCAAAATAATTTCTCCATTGCTTCTTAATCTCCTCATCTTTCACTAAAACTGTTTCATCTCCACCTTTGATGCATCTTACGCCATTAAGATCCTTACTCTTCTTATCTCTTATCTTAGTAATTTTGAACAACTATTATTCTCCATCTTTTTTCTTTAGTTTTCTGTATAATTCCTAATAAATCCCAGTTTTTGAATCTCCAATAACCTTTTTGGCTTTCTTTTTTGCTGTTTTATATTTCAGAGAACTTTGCTCGTCCTTATTGCTCTTTAAATTCTTATAACACTCTTGCTTTCATTTTCACATCGTCATTCTACCACCAAAATTTCTTTCTTGGTGCACAACCCCTAAATTCGTCAAGTATCTCTTGAGTAACCCTTTGAATTTTGATAGAAACTTTTTCCCGTATTGCTTCTACATCCTCATTAGATTTCCAATCAATCTTTTTTACCAGTTTATTCTTAAAAGCTAACATTTTATCCCTCTTTAAGTTCCACCACTTAATACGTGGTTCATAACTTTTACATATACTCTTTGACGTCGGAAGATGAAAGATATTTAGAACTAACAGTTATATACCAAATTATATCATCATGATTATGAAGCAAAATATTGTTATTCTCGATATATGGTAGTGGATCTATTTGAGTGTTGCTGCCTATCTAATTTGGTACATGACTTGTAGAGACCGTTTTAGGTTATTCTTTTCTCTTTTCGTTTGAAGTATGACCTTAAAATTTTTGTAATTTGCAACAAAAGGCTCAAAGTAAATATATATATAGTCCTTAAATCTCACTGTAATTTTGGCATGATCAGTTGCATTTTCTTTGATATAGAATTTTCCAGTGTCACTATTGAATAGTCATTTACAAGGCCTGCCAAGTGCCAAGCATGCGAAAACTTTACCTTTCATTCATTTTTTGCTTTCAACTGTATTCTTTTATCATATTACAATAATTATCAAATCAGAAACTGGCACTTTCTTCTTTTCCTTGCTTGGTATACCTAAAAAGTTTTTCAACTTGAGTTTAAGTTTTGATGTTTATGATTGAGAGAGTTCCAAATCATCTATCAGTTTGATGTTTGGTGGACCTAACTGGAATATATATGTAAGCCAATGGGGGTCTGTCAAAATATGAGTCCTGCGAAAAACTGTGGCGTGCCAAGAATAACAAGTTTTAATCTGTTACAAAACATGTAAAATCCATATATTCTCCCACATGACTGTGTTTTGTGGTGGAGATGTTCTTTAACTAAATAATATTCAAAATGCTATCTTGTCTGGTACTTGGAATGCATAGTTTATCCTGTCCTTCATGTAGTACCTTAACATGAGTTTCATGTAATCATATGAAATAGGGCCGTGTTATGCTGCCATTGAACCTGGCAACAGAGGACGGACCGATATATGTAAATGCCAAGCAGTACAATGGAATCATTAGGCGTCGGCAATCTCGTGAAAAGGCTGTACTTCAGAATAAAGTACCTAAAGCTCGAAATCGAAAGGTATGATCTCTTCTTTTGGTTTCTGAATTCACTAGTATTTCTTTTAGTTGGGAAAATTTTGGCCAAAGCTTCTATGGAGACAAGTTAGAAGAAAGTTTTTGTTTTTCTCTATTACTTGCTTCTTGCCTTGATTATACGCATGTGATTTACATAAAAATGATTTGCCTTATGGATATAAACCTGTTGAATTAACCACCTCAGGCAACCCATTTGTAGAAATATTAGGTTTGATGATTATACATGTCAAATTCCTCTGGTTTGAGAGATCTTGAAAGTTGTCAGTAACCTTGGAAAGGTTATCTTTTTGTGGTTTGAGTAGAAGTTTCTGATATATCTAGTAACAGGCATGGATTTCAGCTTGAGAAAGAGAATATTCAAGATTCCTTGTTGGTAGAGATGAGGTTACAGTTAGTCTGGTCAGTAATAAAATATAGAAAATAATATCTAGTCAAAAATTTGCAAACACCCAATTTATCCAAAAAATTATGAATCAATAACAAAATGAGGAACATTATATGTTAGTACCAAAGAAGATATCTAGGCATCTTGGTCTTAGTTAATAACTGAATTCAGACATGTTATCTTCAATATCCTCTGGTAAACATATCCATGATGCTTATGGGTTTTTTGTTTAAATTTTAATCTAGTTCAATGTTTCAAATGAATCAGTTTCTCACATGCCAAAGTTATGATCTTGTTCATTGAACTAGATGAAAAACTAAGCAAAGTCTTAATTTGAAGGCAATAAACATCATGGATGTGGTCAGTGTATTGAGATTAACAAAGCTCTTGGGCGTTACTTCAATCAAGACAACCATCAAATGCCCTTCATTGTTAGATGATTCTTCACTTGAAAATTTAAATGTCTTCCTATGCCAGAAATATTTAGGTTCTGCTTTTGTTCCGCAGACTTATATGCACTACTCTCGCCATTTGCATGCAATGCGCCGGCCAAGGGGATGTGGCGGCCGTTTCTTGAATTTGAAAAGTTTAAATGGAGGCAAAGATGGAACGGAGATGAAGAAAGCTGCTGAAGTACAACTTTCTCACCGTACACGGTCACAAAATTCGGAAGTCCTGCAATCTGACAGTGGAACCTTGAACTCATCCAAGGAAGCAAATGGAGGAGGCTCAACTCTTTCAGGGTCAGAGGTGACCAGCATGTACTCCAGGGGAGAACTTGAGAACTTTCCAATCAATCATCTTGGACTGTCTGTCCACTCTTTCCCAGTGATGATGGACAATGGGCTTGGTACTGTTATGCCCAGCAAATGGGTTGCAACAGCGGATAACTGTTGCAACCTGAAAGTTTGATACCAAGGGAATTAGTGGGATTGGTGCTAAGTTGTTGCACCTACCCACTTTCCCTGCAGCAACCAAATGGGGAAACTTCGTTGCATCAGCTGTCATAGGTTTTGCAACAGGTTTTGGTTGCTAGGCAAATCATTCTTGGCTCATCTCAACTCGGCTCTTCTTTTCACTCCATGCAACACTGCTGTCGTGGGGTGTTGGAAGATGCTCAAACCTTAATATAAGAAATGGATCAGACTATATAAATGGGGTGTTTCACTGATCCAATAAAAACTTAATGTTTGCTTATGTGCTTGAAATCCTAAATATTTAGAATTGTGGTGTTCCTAAATTGTGTTATCTACATGTCTGTTATGCTTGAGAAATAATGGATTGTAAAATACTATGTTTTTATCTGTGTTTTCCCGTTTAATCCTATTCTTTATCTGCTGTGGAGGTACATCTCTGATAGGAGAAGGTTTCTGTGGAAGCACGTTTGAGGACAGATGAGTCCTAATAATACTTGCTTTTATAACTATGTAATGAGCATGGGATTGAAACCGGATGAAATTTATTATCATTTTCTAACAATATTCGAATTCTTCGCTTGTAAGGATTATGTTTTTGTTGTCAACAATATTTGTTGGTGGGCAATGTGTATATTTAAATAAATCTTTTATGAGATTTAAGGTCTATCCTGGTAAAGCTTTTCATCAACCTAAACGTTTTTTATTAAAAAAAAAAAAAGAAATAAAAAAGTGCGATTCTTACTCTTCACATGGTTGAAGAAATGTGTAGGAAGTTAGCGGCCAAAGAAATGAAAATATAATCTCTCTCTTGCTCATAATCTTTCTTCTGATATAAACAAATAAGAGAAAAAGGGAGGTAGCTGGTCATATGCTTTGTTTGTATGTCCAAAAGGTTCTTATAACAAATAACCATGAACCAGAATCAAAGAAACAAAAAGACCAAGGTAACATGAGAAGTCGTCGAAACAAAAGCTTTGCCATCCTCCTCTTGTTGCTATTAAACTTGTCAAAACCCTGTGTCTTGGGAAAAATTCATGTTAGGGTCACAAACCAGCTGGGATATAATAGGATTCTAAACATACACTGCCAGTCACGCGACGATGATCTTGGCTATGTTGCCCTCCCAGATGGCAGTGCATTCCAGTGGAAATTTTCTATTAATTTCTGGGGCACTACATTGTATTATTGTGATGTGCAGTGGGATCAGTCAGGATGGCACCATTTTGATGCTTATGCATATGAATGGGATTCTGACCGCTGTCGAACGGAATGTATCTGGATGATTTCAGAGGCAGGTCTTTTACTCAATTATAATCCAGAGCTGGAAAACTGGGACGTGATTCCTTTTCAAGATAGGAACTGATAAAGTTGCATGCCTTTTTTTTTTTTTAAATTGGAAGCAGCAACAGACCAGAATTGTAGTTTAAAAACCAGAATCAGCATAGATTCTGGAGCACAGGCTCAATCAATATTTTGACAAATTGAAAGTCTTATAATTCATGAATACATTTGCTCTTGGGAGTTCTATGAATAAGAGTGAATTCAACAGCCAATTACTCTAGTAATAGCATCCATAAGCTGCCCTTTTTGACTTTGAAGGATACTCTCCCCCATCCTTGGTAAAGTGAAGAATGATACATTTATTTTAACCAGAAAAAAAAAAAAAAACAATGCTAAATGATTTGTAATTGCCCATATATATGTTTCATTTTCTTTATTTATAGCTGAGATTTGAAAATCTCTCGAATTTAACTGTTAATAACACACCTTATATCTTTCTATATTATGAAATGAAGAGATTTAAATTTAATTTTTTAATAAAAAAAATATTAAACAATCTTTTAGTTAAATACTCGTATATAACCTTATATCATACTAAGACGATTAGTTTATATAACCTTATATCATACTAAGACGATTAGTTTACTCTTAACAACATACTTTTTTCGAAAAACCAAATGAATTCGCAAAATTGAAACCGGAAAATTACCCTTAAGAATAAAATGAAAATAAATTATAAAGGATAAAAGAGTAAAAACATGAAGGGGTCCCTGTTTTATTAGTTTCAATTCAAGTAGAAACTGTGGCCCAATTAGAATATAACTCAAAGTTGATAATCCGATTCAGCCCAACATGCAACTCCGAAGGAGTGAACCAAATCTTGTCCGAACCTTATCCGTCTTTTTAGCTACCGCCTCTTTCAGTTCTTTACTCCCACTACAAAAAAAATCTTGGAATCCATTTCTGCATAAGTTTGTTTGCTTTGCAGAAAATGTCAGCTCCGAGTCTCTCCATGGCAGCTACAGCAGCAGTTGCCTCTTCTTCACTCTGCAAGAACAACAAACTTTCCACTCTTTTTTCTTCATCACTTCAATCTCTTCCTTCAAAACCTACTCCTAAGCCGTTAAAACCTTTCAACCTCAAAACCCAAAGCCCCAATTCCCTTCCTTTAACTCTTCACCTATTTCTCCCACGTTTACCCTGCTTTTCAGCTTCTGTTGACAGCTTCGAAGTTGCGGAAGATGACCAAAGCACTGGAGAAGAATACCCAGAAACTCAAGACCTTGAAGAACAACCACTACAGGAAGAAGGTGAAGAAGAGAAGGTTTCAGAGCCTGGCGGTGAAGAAGGAAGGTTGTATGTAGGGAATTTGCCTTATTCAATGACTTCTTCCGAGTTATCTGAGATTTTTAGTGAGGCTGGTCGTGTTGCTAATGTGGAGGTTTGCGTTCTTTTCTTCTTGTTTCCTACTTGATTTTGGCTATCTTTTTAGTTTTTTTTTTCCTTCTTTTTTTGGTCATTTTTTATTATGGCTTTTCTTGTCGATTTGTGTTTGATAGATTGTTTATGATCGAGTTACGAATAGGAGCAGGGGATTTGGCTTTGTTACAATGGGGAGCGTTGATGATGCCAAAGAAGCAATTAGGCTGTTTGATGGATCTGTAAGTCATCAAATCACTAGTTTTTGTGACTTGATGTTCTGATTCCCAATGAAATATGATAAATGTATAGACGAAAAGACCATAGAAAGCTTTTTATAATCGTGTTACCAGTTTAATTACCACTAATTCATTAGAATTGCTTGATTAAATTATAATACATGACAATTGTCAGATTTAAGTCCATGAGGTAGAATTGATGTGGCTTGCCTGCCAAGAACAGTTTAGTAACTAATCTATTCTATGCTACTTTTGTTTAGGATGGTAGAGCTCTCTTTTCAATAGAGAGAACCTCTTTTTCATTGAAATCTATGTGTTCTTTTTCAATCTGGTTCTAGTTTTGGAGTTGAATTTTGGTGTGACAAGAGTGGAGGGAATGAATGTGAGTGCAATGATTTTTATCTATAAATTTTCATTTGTGTTGATGCAGCTGTTGCACTTCTCCTTTTCCAAACCTAGGTTATGGCTTATGCAATGGGAAGTTTTTGTGAACAGTAGCTAGGTTTAGAATTGCTATGTATTTCTTTGTTTTTTGGAGCACCATTTATGTGGGTTATTCCACTTTGAATTGCTAGTAAAGCTGATGTTAATGTTTTTATTCCTAATTGTTAACAGCAAGTCGGAGGACGGACTGTGAAGGTGAACTTCCCGGAGGTGCCAAGAGGAGGTGAGAGGGAAGTAATGGGACCAGAGATACGTAGAGGTTACAAAAGCTTTATAGATAGCCCTTACAAGATCTATGCAGGAAACCTCGGTTGGAGTGTCACCTCTGAAGGTCTCAGAGATGCTTTTGCTAGTCAACCAGGCCTGTTAAGTGCTAAAGTCATATATGAAAGGGACACAGGAAGATCTCGAGGTTTTGGATTCGTATCCTTTGAGTCTGCTGAGACTGTTGAGGCTGCTCTAAATGCCATGAATGAAGTGGTAAGACTCAGTTATAGAATAATTCAGGATTGAAATTTGTTTACCTTTTTAATTTCCGTTTCTATGTAATCATGCTTGTAGGAGGTAGAAGGTCGACCTCTACGATTAAATATGGCTGCCGATAGAGCTCCCCGTACTCCACCTGAAATGGAAAGAAACACAGAAGACAGTCTTGAAAGCAGTGAATTGCTTTCCAGTGTTACTGTTTGATAGACTAACCAAAGATAATAGGTGGTTCAATATGGTTTTACAAAAAAAAAAAAAAAAAAATCTACTTTTTACAAAACCTCTAGTCCAGAACTGTTTACAAATGTTACATGTAAAATCATAGAGAAAGGAGATGATTCTCTCTACTTTTTTTTTTTTGGAGTATATGCATTTCTATACTGCTTGAGTTATACATATTATGGCAGTTTCAAAAGCAAAATTTCCTTAAGTCGTCCATTCGCATTTGGTTAAATAGTTTAAGATCGATCAAATCCATGGTAATTTTATTTTGTCAATTGGAAAATGTTCAATATCATGCTGACAAGAAATACAAAGGGTTAAGTTGGCCAATTATGAGCTTGGATCTTGATATAGTTCTGGGCTATACCCTTGCACCAAGATCATATTTTTGGCCTCTTTTCAACAATCATTATTCTTATCCTATGGTTCAAAAATTCTGCTAACTTTTAAAGTCTCATAATCTAGCCTTTTCAAGCCAGCTTACAGGAGAGCTGGGGCCATTCTTAGGTTTGTTATGAACAGTTAACACAGACCACCTTGATTTCTGTAGAATTGTAACATCCAAAGAGAGAATGGCATGAAAAAAAGTGCATGGGCAATGAGCAGATAGAACTTTATGAGCATTTCCCATTTCCAAACTGAACGAATACATAGTCAACATAAAATAAAAGCAAAATAAAAGACAAGTATTCAGGTGATTTCAATGGTTTTGATGCCAATGCCTAAAGCTCATTTTCATTTAAAAAACTCTAGATTTGTGGATTCCTCAATGTGAAGGAGCAATAAAGGATTTAAATATTATAAACCTTTGTCATTGACTTTCATGCCGACCAGCGAGAAGAGCATTTGCTGCAGCATCCAAGTCATGAAGGAAGAAAACCCTGCATAACACTAGAGGTCTTATGAGGCAGAGCAAATAAAACTCTAAAGCAAAAAATAGTTTTTAACTTTGTATTAACCGTGGAGGTAAGGACGATAATGGCAGAAAAAAATGCTTATTCTCAACTCAGGTTGCACTAACATAACTGACCTAAAAGAATAAATACTTAACCAATTTGGTCAAATATTCAATCTAACTTCTAATCAGTTCGGTCACTAAGTGACCACTTCATCTATATGCCCAAACCACTGATTTTTGAATTTGAGAAATTCCTAAAATTGCAAACAGAGTGTTCTGGTATTATGTCGCACTCAGCTGAGCAATGTCATTGATTCCTTGACAGCCAGCTACCACCTCAAGAACCTGCCTGGAACACCCCCCCTCTCCACCAAGAAAAAAAAGTTAAGACAAAATGTGTTGAACAGAATAACATCTCCATTGATAAATGACCAAATGAAACAGTTATTATGGAGAAGCATTGACAGAACACATTATATTATTTGATGTTATTTGCCATATTTGAGTTGGTTATTAGTTTTGGATGATATGATACTCGTAGTAGCTACGAATATATGATGAGTGAAGATTTCTATTCTCAAAACATTGTCTCCAGCATTATCTCTGTTTTATTAAAAATGAAAATTCAAAAAAGAAAGTTGAGATACTGCACTGGAAAAAACAGTTTTTCTCACTGCACTAAACAAGGTTCATTGCATCCTTTAACAAGACGTTCTTGACCATAATTCTCTTTCTTCTTAGAAGGCCCTAATAATTTCACAAATTAATCCCAGCATGAGTACTCTTGATTTCGCAATATGGAGAATCAGTCTCAATCGTCATTCTTTCAACAGGTATGCACCACACAACATCAAGATTTCAGCCATCTTCAGAAAGCAGCCATTTACACCTGTGCCACAACCAAAGCTGGACAACTCATTAGGTTTAGCACGAACCTCAGTATATCCATAACAATGCATGGCTTCAATCAAGGACATAGGAATTCCATCAACTTGTTTGATTAACTGAAAAAATTAATGTAAGTGCTAAAATCTATCAGCCTGAACATAAAAAGATCTGGTTGGAAGATACGAGGTAGGCAGCAGATGTCGCCTCACTGCATGCATGGCAATAAGACATGTTTGGTGAATGCATCAAAGATGCTGAGTCTAAGTTGGACTCTCACCTATATAAATGTTATGGAATGAGAGAAGCTTATCAAAGTCTTCAGCACTACCAGTAAATGAATGAGTTACCCCTCCGGTGAACCTATTAAATTGAAAAAGAGAAAAAAGACAGCAGACCTCAGCAATTACACATCAACAAGTGAACCAATTAACTAATATCCTTTTCATAGATAAGGACAAAGATGGTTTACAAAGTTAGAAGAGATAAAATGAAAAAGATAGTCACGTGTAGGACAGATCCAGAAATCTAACTTGTTAATATTTCTTTCCATAATTTCACAGAAATCTCCGGCAGCTGCAGGCATATGCAGAAACATAGGCAGCTTTGTGGCATAAGCTAATAATTCAAACTGCTTCTCAAAATACATAGTTTTATCATGGATAAGTAACAAACATTAATCATTAGAGCAGAAGAAAACAAGCCAATAGATAATAGGACAAGAAGGAACACAATACCAACAAATATTTCTCTTGGCAACCACTTACTTCCTTTGAATTTCTGGTGGGCAAAAATGAAGCCTGTCATAATCCAATCCACATTATTCACCAATTGCCACCACCTAGATTAAGGCAAAATATATTGTATCTAACTATAGTAAGACTAAGACTAACAATCCTGATCAAAGAGTGAATGTGCAATAGGGAATAGTTATTAATTTACTAAATGTTTTTGGATCTATTTAAACTGATAAAAAGAAAATTCCTTTTATTCTTGCAGTTTGTAACTTTTGATTACATTATTATTAAAATACATTTCTGCAAATGGAAATCCTACTTACATGCATGTGAAACTGTTAAATGTAAAAGAAGCTATATAGAAATTACATTGTATAAAAACAAAAAGGCAGGGAAAACAGGGCACCAGTATGTTCTAAGATCTTTCACTTGTCTAATCAACACATCCTACGCAGAAAGCAGTATGTTCCAAGCCTCTCCCCTCTCCCCTTTAATAGGGCTTTGCCCTCCCCCCCCCCCTTTGAAACCAAAATAAAAAAAAATCATCTCACATCTACCGGCTAGAAATGAGAATGCACCAACCTAAAATCCAACAAAATTTAAAAGATCTAGAACCAATAAGGAAAACCCACCTTCCCTTTTTGAATTCCCTCTTTAGCCAAAGACAAAAGAGCTTGAAAATGTTTTTCGGGATCCCCACTTTCTTCAAACTCCTAAATAAACATAAAAAAAATCCAAGTTCACAAACATCTCTAACAAAACCACACAGTTAAACGTTTACTCAAAAAACAACAAAAAGAACCAAAGGCAACAACTTTTCCGACAAGACTAACCTTGCATCCAGTTCGGTGCACACCAACCGTGCAGAAAAGCCTCCCTGTGATGAATAATAACCTTTAGACTGATAACCAAAACAATGTATTTTAAAGCAAAAGAAACGTAAAGGCTGATGTGGCAATGAATAAAGCATGATAAATAGACCATCGGTTTCTGCAATAGCAAGAGCTTCCCTTGACTCCTCCAGGGAACCACCTGTAACCTGTAACCTGTAACAACAAATCTATTACTAGGAATTATGCATTTTCAACAACATCAAAACTAAAACTCACTACGTTTTGAATAAGTTGAAAATTATTTCTTAAAGCTTCCAAAGTAAATACATTCATCCGGAATTCAGAAAAATAAAATACCATTTCAGTAATTCCAAAAAGAAATGAATATTTGAACTCAATTTATTCAAGTCCACGAGTTCACTAAAGAAAATAAAGCTTATGATGAAACTGAAATATTATAATAAGTTGATAACCAAACAGAGTAAAATGCAAAGAGAATATGGGATTAACTCACGATAATTCGATCAACGCCAGCATTCCAAGCTCGACTTAAAACAGTGGCAATATCAGAAAGGTGATGTTGCTTGCCATTATAAATGCCTTTAAACATGCCATCTATAAAAAAAAAAATGATCATCCAAGTGGAGACGAAGAAACCCAAATTGAGAAGACAGAGAAAAGATTACTTGAAGCAAAAGATTGGAATAAAGCATGATCTGTTTGATGAAATGTGTGAAAGAGTTACCTGAAATTGACTGCAATAGAAAGTGAGCGAGAAAAAGCAGGGGAGAAAGGCATGATCTGTTTGATGAAATGTGTGAAAGAGTTAAGTGAGCGAGAAAAAACAAATGTTGAGAGTGGGATTTGAACCCACGCCCTTTCGGACCAGAACCTTAATCTGGCGCCTTAGACCAACTCGGCCATCTCAACACGTCGAGAAATTCGCGACGTAAATATATTCTTTAATGAAAATTGTTAGGTTCTGCAAGTCATTATCTGTTCTGTACGCATTTTCAAATTCAAGAAAATTCTAGGTTCTGCAGCAGAGTTTTGCTTCAGTTGTCTACTTCTCTTACGCCTGTTTTTCAAGTTTTCCAAAACCTGTCACAGTTACAATTAAAACTGTTTATTTTATGAATTAAAGGTGATTTAAATCGATTTCTTAACTCAAACGCGATTTATTATTAAATTACAAGATATTTGACAGATTTTCCAAATTTTTTTATTTTAACTCAAATGTCTAAAAACCTCAGTCCTGAGGGAAATTCACCCTCTCACGGGGGGAGTTGAACCATCATCAGGACCAAGTCACAGATTCTAGATTTTAGGCTGACTTGACCATATAAACTTGGAACATTTGCAATGCCAAACGTAGTTCCAGGGAGCCATCTTTGTTGACGCCGATTTCTAATCCAAAATTCAACAAAAAAACGTATCAGGAAAACCAGTAATCAGAAAGAGTTGTTACAGGAAAAACTACAATTTTTATGTGAATTTATGATAAGTAAATGGCAAAAGGTCAAGCATTTATTTCTAAAAGTAGTCATATTTGTCACTTATTATAGAAAGTTTATATTTTTCCCCCATGTCCCCAAAACGAAATCACCGTTCTTAGCCTTTCCTGTTTTTTCCAATAATTTTACGCTTCACATTTCTGAATTGTGATACTAATGAATGGAATAAATAAATAAATAAATGGATAGTTGACCATCATCATCTTTTGCCAACCAGAAGGAAAATCTACCATTCCTTTTTTGTCTGCATTTTATTTATTTATTTCTTTTCCTATTGCTTGTTGCCAGAGTAGTTGGTGGAGGGTCGCCATTGTTGAATTTGATTCCAAATCCAAGTACAGCCAAAAAGGAATATTCATCAACAGGTGTTCAGATTTCAGAAAGTATAATATCCAAGAACTAAATTTTATTTATAGAGTACATATTATATAGAACAAACTTTCATAAACAGTATCTATAGCAACCAATAAAACAGGAAATAGCTGAACCAAAAATATTAGTTACAGGAAAGAATCAACAATCCAAATGGTCTCTCTCCAAGAAAGTCTATCAGAATTCTTTTGCACTCCAACCCTATCCCCTGCTTTCCATTAAACAACAAAAAATGCAGTGGAAATTAAGCTTCAAACTGCTGTCGCCACCAGCACCACCTTTGGTTATTAGTTTTGCCATGGTCTCACAGTGAATAACACCACAAGCAAGATGATCACCAGCAAAAGTATGATAGCATAACAAGTCCATTTCCGGGTATTTTTCTGGTAATTCCTAGCTGTTTGCAACCGCTCAGTTCCACCTCTCACAAATGAATTAGCTCTGTTCACTTGGCTCTCAATATCATCCAGTTGCTCACCTTGAGCCTGAACCAACACTGCCATGTCCAAGAAAACTTGGTGCAACTCCTTCAGATTCTTCTCCATATCCTTAACAGCATCATGCCTTTCTTGAATCTCATTGATTGTGTCTAAAATTCTTCCCCTTCCTTGCTCTTGAATGGCTTTTTGCAAGAAAGTCTCACTCTCTCCTGCAATATATTAACACAAGTTTCCAAAATTAGTGTTAGGGTCTTTCATATCATTGTCCCAAATGTTCTTAGATTTCTCTTGCACAAGAAATGTAATACAGCTTTGTGAAAACACACTATACTTCAGATTTTATTCCATAAATAATACTAATAATTCTAGAACAAAATTATCACAAGAAAAAGGATTTACTAAAAGCTTCATTTTTACAATGTTAAAAAATTACGATTTGCATGTGTCAATCAAGATTACAACCAAATTTTCCATATGACTGATTCACTAATAATCACGTGTAGTTGCCCTCTAATCATCACAATTCACTAAAAACATCTCAGTTCACTTTCTTTCTTTTCATCAAATGAAACCATCCATGAATACCGAACTTCTCAGGAAATATTCCTAGCGGGCTAACAGTTAAAACTTGAAATTTTCCGTCCGAATCTCAAGTACGAATCTTGAAAATAATATAATGAACTTTATGGAATGAAAACAATAAAAAAAAAAAGAATCCTTTTTCATGAGCTCGGATTAAACAAAGGCTTTCATAAGTACTAAAAATTCCAAAATGGAAAAAAATGATGAAACTGACCTGTTGAAATCAAACGATCAAGAGTCTTCTCATCTGGGTTTTCTCCAGTAACCGTAAAGTACCTTCTCTGAACAGTTTCTCTATACTCTGACGATATCTTTTCTCTCAACCCATTAAAGCTTTCCATAGAATCCTTCAACTTCTTTCTCAATCCGTTCACAATTGACGTCCTCGTCCGGTCCGAAGAAGACCCCGGTCCACAATCAGGCAAGTTCCTGTTGGCAGTGTTGGACCGGTCAAGCGCTTCCAGCCTAACCTTAATAAGCTTGGTTTTTTTCAAAGCCATGGCTACGTCAGCATCCATCTTTGCTCTCAATTCTTTCACGGCTTTCGCGTTGTGTAACGTCTTGCTTTGCTCATGGGATGACGAGAGGTTGTCGCTCAGCCTCTCGAGGTCTCTAAGCTCGTCTTTGATGGACTCAACATCTTCGAAGAACTTGTCGAGGTTGACACCGCCGGAGGTGGAGGGGGATTGTGTCATCTGGATAACGTGGTGATTAGGTGAAGCTTCCTCGCTTCGGAAGCGAGAGAAAGAGCCTGAAAATAGATCATTCATTTTTTGGTTTTTTTTTTTACTAGAAACTCTTCAGGGCTTTAAAAACGTTGGTTGGACCAGAAGGAAATGGTATTAAACTGGGTGAAGGTGTTGGGTAAATTAAGTCATAAAAACCAACTTCTTAATCAGAAAAAAGACCTTTTAGGAGGTTTTGAGAAAAGGGTATCGGAGATTGAAGGAAGAAGTGGAGAGAAATGGAGGAAAAGAGAGGCTTTTGAGGTGGGTTGGAAGGAAAGAGGCTGCTGGGGAAGGTGGGATTTTGGTCAAGAAGGTCTGAAGTTTCAACTAAGAGGGATTGGAGCAGTCAAATGGAAATGAGAACCTGAAACAGACATGCATTCTTTTTAATCCTTTTTTTTTATTTCTTTTTAATGAGAAAGATCAAAGAAGTAAAGAATTGAAAAGAGGATGAAACTTCTTGGAAGGTGGAAGGGAGGGGAAGAAAAGAAAAGGTCATTTGTTTTGGAATGTTCTTTCAATGGTTTGATTGTTCTGTTTTGGTGGTGTTATTATTGGTGGGAAGAATAAAGAAATTGAAAACTAGTTTAGCAAGGGAAGAAGACTTGGTCTCATACTGATTTGGGTTGTCTGAACTCGTTAAAGAAATTGTCTACTTTTGGTCAGTTACAGTAATCAGCTAGATGGCAGTAGAAGACATCAAAACGCTTGGCCAAACTTTAGAAACAAGTAATGGTTTGTGGGTTCAATTTGAGATTTGAAAGTGTTTTTGACAATGAATTTCTGTTCAAGAATAGCTTAGTTTCTGTTTAAGAAACGTTCATCACTGCATTTCAGGTGGTAGATAACAGAAAACCAACGTAGTGCTTTTATAACACGTTACTTTTAATTGGTATGCTGCATGTGTTACGAACTTAAAGAAGAATCTTAAATTTCATATCGAACATAATAGAAGATCATTGAAATATAAAAGGGTTCACATCAACTCTCTCTTGTGAGACACCTTTTGTAAGATAAAATCGTGAGGGTAGAAGGGCAAGAGCGGATAAAATCTTACAAAGATATAAACCATGATAAATAGATTGATCTGAGACATCAAATGAGTATATACCTAGGTCCCTGAGCCGCACGGATCGAAGCTTAAGTCTCGACCCATGACAGGTGATATCAAAACCAACCCTAAACCATTCGATCCACATCAAGTGCCTTGAAAGAGGTAGGTAGGGTGGTCAGTCTCCGTGACGAGAGTGTCACGAGATTGGGTGGGAGAGAATATCACGGACCTAAAAAAGACCTAAGGAAGAATTCTGAATCCCACATCGAATATAGGTAGGCTAACCAACCTCAATGACGAAGGCTGAGGTTAGGTGAGGAAGAATCTCACAGACCTAAAAAAGAGTCTAACCTCCGTGACGAGGGCTGAGGTTGGGTGTAGAATGGCACGGACCTAAAGAAGAGTCCAGCCTCCGTGACGAGGGTTGAGTTTGGGTGGATGAAAATATCACGGACTTAAAGAAGAGTTCTGAATCTTACATCGAATATAAGAAAGAGTCCTGACAAAATCGTGAGACCAGAGGGGTCAGAGTGGACAATACTTCATAAGGGTATAAACCATGATAAGTAGACTGATCTGAGAGATCGGATGAGTGTATATCCAGATCTTAAAATCGTACGGATAAAAACTTAAATCTCGATCCGTGACACTTGCACTTTGATTCGGTCATTCCCGTCCCAAAATTTCTTTGTTTCGTCTATACAAGTTGATCAGAGTCTCCAATGAAAGTAAATAGTTATTGTATGAGAGCCTTTCTGATTACAGTACCTTTAATGAAAATTAATGATTTTAGGAAGAAGAAGAAGAAGAAGAAGTCTTTGATGGTGATGCAGCCGAGAGAAAGGTTTGCTCATTTCCCTTATTTTTCCTTTTGGGTGGCTCTGTTTTAAGCTAAACAACTGGAACATCAGTTGAGTCATGGACGGTGTCATAATAATAATAATAATAATAATAATAAACTGGTAATATTTTTTTTAAAGAATCAGAGTTTTTGATTTTTATCCGATATATTTTCTTTTGAGATTGGTTAAAAGCTTTATTTATAATAAAATATAAGGGAATTTAAAAATTTTGATTTTAAAAGATTAAATCGATTTAATTTGAAAATTTGATTGATCATTAAATTAATTTTGATAAAATGATTTTAAAAAATTAATTTTTGATTAATTCAATTTAAAAATGAAATTAACTAAAATTTTAATCAAAATATAATAAAACTTATATGTAAAGCTAAAAATATATAAAATTGTAATTATCATTTCAAATTATTAAAAATTTTAATTTAATATTTTAGTATTTGAATATTTTTATTAGATAATTTTATTTAATTTATTTTAAATATAAAAATATAATTAAATTTAATATATTTTATTATTTAATTAATTAAAAAAATTAACTGAATCAACTAAATTAATTTTAAAAATAAAAAAATATAATTTGATTTTAGATAATTTTAATTTAAAATAACATAACCGATTATATGAACACCTCTAATAAAATATTAATTAAAACAATAATAATTTTATTAAAATATAAGCTTTAGTTTGTTTTAGGACATGGGTTTGGTGTGATAAACTTATTTTAAGCTATGGATTTGTTTTGGGCAACCTTATCGTAGGATACAATGCAACCATATTGGTCTTGTTTGTTTGGCTGCTAACGTTGACTTGGATCATGATTAAATTAAATTAGCTAAATACTTAATTTAATTATCAACGTTTAAGTTCAAACTAAGATCTCATATTTTAATTTTAATAATTAAATATTTTATTTATTTAAAATGTAACAATTAAAGATTTTTTTTATTATATAAAAATTGAGGCTTACAACACCCGTATTGTTAAGTTAGTTAACAACGAGAAATGGTATCAAATAAAATGTCAACATGTAAAAATTGTTTTTAAGAAAAAATGTAAAAGAATTAATTAAATAAAAATATTATAATATGAAAAAAATCTAATCAAACCCCCTTTTATAATATTGCCCAAAAAAAAAAAAATCATTCTCTTTTCCAAGCAAATGAAGGAAAAATGCCATGGAAACATGATTGAAGAAAAAAAAGGTGAAAATGTGAAATTCTATTTATTTCACCTAAAATTTTTAACCGAAAAAAGAGTAAAAAAAAAAATTCACCTAAAATTTCATAACCTGAGAACATCTAGCCGAATTAGCATGAACAAAATTCATAGTAGCCAGCATGCGAGCCCCACTGCCCAAACAAGGATTGTTAGCTTTCCCACTAGGAAGCAAATCTTCAATTCCCCAACTTAACTTCTTTCCCTTCGTAACTGCCACCATGTCCAATCATTTTAAAACAATAGCCCAAGACATAACGAGAGCTTGCAAGCAATTCTTCGCATGAATCGATTTGATCAGAATTAGTTTAGGAGTGAAAGATTAATTTTCCCCCCAAAATTTCCTCTCAAATCAGATTTTTTTTACGAGGAGGCTTTTTTTTTTTTTTGGTGAGAATTTGGACAGTCAATTTTGGGTTTCTTATTTTTAATATATCATTTATTATAAAATATTTAAATTGAACTATTTTACTCACCCAAAAATTTATTCATAACGCGATTTAACAGCCCATGGAATACACGCCTCGAATTTTCATTCAAAATTTTTTTTAATTATTATATTTGGAATAAATTAAATCTTTAATCATTAAAATTAAAAAAAAATTATGATTTGTACAACCACTCAAGTGTTAAGTATTAAATTGAGCATTTAATCAAATAAATTTAACTGGAATGACATCTCCATCTTCATGCAAGCAAAACGGGTGAAGCACAGATCTATTAATTTATTCATTCAAAATTTTAAAAAAAAATCCCTAAACTACTTGAAATATAAAAATAATTAAAACCTCATATCCAGAAGCTAAAGAAAAAAATGCAAAATCACCCACGAAACGAAGTAGAGCTAAAAAATGGAATGAATTTCGAACTTAAATTGAGGAACTGTGATTTGTATAAAATGTAACTAATTTTCTCAATTCAGATATATTGAGTCCATTCACACTAAGTACTAACAAAATAATTTCATTTTTAGTTTCCCTTATTTTGAAAACCAAAAGGAAAGTTTCATCTCTTACCTTCACTAAGCTTTTCTCAAATCCTATTATACCAAGAATTATACATTTAAGGCACCGTAATTTACATGTGAAAGTTACAAAATTACTACAATCAAGATCTCAATGCTAATGGCGCAGATAACCGGTGAACATGAGCCAATATTTTAAGAAGATTGTAGCACAGTGAGATAATAGGGATATCCATGGCACACTCCGGCCGACTTGTTCGCTTCTCCTGGATTTTCTTCGTCGCTAATGGGTGTAAGATTCCAATTCAAAACATAGTTTGACAAATCATATATACCGGGAGCAAAAACACAGATCTGAAGAGGAATTTCAGCTGTTGATTTAGGTTGAAGTAGGAGTTTAGTTGAGCTTGACCCTGACCATATGAACTGGGAGACACTTTCCAGGGACACTGAGTTCGCAAATCGCGCTGCTAGGGTATCAGTTGTGATGACTTTCAAATCATTTACTACTGGAATATCAAACCACCCTGCTTGGTTTTCCGGAGGGAGACCTGACTGAGATCCAGCAGCATCACTTGATTGGCTGTTACTACTGCAGGAATCAAAGGTGTTGATATGGACAGATGCAACAGCATCAGATGAGTTGTTTACAGTCATCCTCAAATTTACTTCACATAGAGAAGCTGAGAAGTTATGTTGTATGGCATGAGGCCCATCCACTAACCATGATATTGGACTCTTGCTTGAAAGACTAACAGGCAAAAAAAAAAAGGAAAATCATCAGAATAAGTGGTATCAACTAATTCATCATTAAAAGTTATTGCTGTCGCTTGAGTCTTACCTGCAATGACAAGCATGATGGGAGAAGAGAAATGGTGTACTAGGAGCACCAGAATCAACATTACCCTTCAGCAGTTGAGTGATGAAAATGAAATCAACTTCATATTCATGCCCCTGGTCCATGAAAAATATCAAAGCTTAAAGCATCAGCAGGCCAGTAAAAGATCCAAAGAATCAACAAATAACCACTTCAATTTTTCTAGTTTTCCAAAAAAAGGCAACATCATCATCAACAGTAACATAAGCTTGAGAGTCAAGAAGGAAATGGTGATATAGATAGGAGACAACCGTAACCTGAGTTAAATTTGGAATGTAATGACAGTGATGATATATAATAATCAACATTAGGATAAACATTCCAATTGATTGTTATAAGAATGGCACAACAAGAGCAAGAAGGTTAACAACCTGACATGACATTCCCTGGTACGATCTTTCACAATCATGGAAATCAGCCAAAGGTGAACTAGATACATCAAAGAGGGCTTCACTGTTACCCTGGGGGCCCAATCTTATATCACTTTGAAGAAGGGAATGTGAAGGAATACTGTCTTCAGAAGTTGATGACCTCCTGCGATCCTGAAGAGAAAATTAAAGTAGATTATAATTTTAAGTCAACTGGTGAAGCTCAAAGAAACAAACAAATATTATATGGCAATAGAAGAATTCACAATGACAAACAAACCTTTAACAAGCCAATATGCAGCTAATAGCATACTTACTAACACTACTAGGCGATAAGGTTGATAGATTGATACAAGATAGAATTGCAACTTATGCACAACCCAGCTCCAGATTTAACCCTTGCCTGATCATTTTACTCATTTACTGCATGTTAGGTCTCTATCAATGGCAACTGAAGTTGGCTCAGGTTAGGTACCACATCACAATTTAAAGTTATTACATGTTGGCATTTGATCAAACACCCGCCCTCCACCCTCTGGTCAAAGCCCAACAAAAGAAAAAGACAAAAGTTGCCTAATATTAGCTAGCACATGTAATTATCCCAATGGTAATATTACTTTGACAATCAAATTAAAGGAAGACACAAAATAGTTATGCTACCACTTGAAAAGTACATATAATATTTTACCAGATGATTAATCCAAGGTGCAAGTTCTTGTATGGTTGTACCAACCTTAAGCATGAAGAAGCATGACAGTGCTTGACCAGCAAATAAAGAATGAGAAGGTAAGATCCTATCAACCGGCTGAAGCAATGAGATTTCCCACTGCTGCCCAATAGATGACAACTGAAGAACCTGAAAACATTCGGAACTGTTCTTGTTGACAACATCCATGCGCAAGAGGAACTCTGTCAATCTTGATGGGCAAGGACTAAGTTCAAATGATACATCCAACGATGGTAAAACCTAACAAACATGAAGAGAATAAATTAGAATTCGCTAGGAAGCCAATTGATACATATAGAGGCAAAAATACATATGATCAACAAAGTATCACCCATATGACCATTTGAAATAACAATTGCTTCTCTAATAAACAATTAAAAGAAGGAAAAGAATCCACCAAGAGCCAACTTAACTAAACTGATACTTGGATAACATAAAACAGAAAAATTGCTTCTACATAATCAGTAAATATAAATAGTTTTCTAAGGAAATTTTGCATGACTACCATCAGCTGACATACAGGTGGGTGGTTATGACCTCACTATCAGTAAATATCTCCTTAGAAAATTTAAATGCATGAAATTAGCACTCAACTTCCATATAATTTCCATTCAATTAAATTTAAAACAGATTGCTCCTAACCATGTTCCTTTTCCATCTTTACTTTTTGTATGACCCCATGTTGTTTGTGCTCTACCATAAATAGATTAAAACTATTGTTGATTGTTCATTTTCCCCTTGTTACTTTACAAATGAATTTCACAAGACAAAGCTAAATAAACACTCATTAAGAAACAATCCATAATTTAAGCTACCAATGGGAATACATATAGCAAAAGCAAGTGCAAAGAATCAAACTAGGAACCCTCAACCTTTTCCTATTCAAGAACATACCTGCAGATTATAATACATTCGTAGAGTGCGATATTTCATGATGCTTGATACATCTCCCATTTCGTAATATATTGTAATGTACAAAGAAATATTTCCAGGAACAGCAGCATGAAACCAAAGAGGCCAAGATAATGATGTTTCCTCCTGCATTGATATGTCCTGGAGCATAGACAAAATGTAAAGTTTACAAATTAAAAAGGATGAGGTGCTATCAACTTGACATAAATTGTCAATAAAGCATGCACAGGGAAACATTCCAAACTGACCTCAGGAAAGTGAAACACATTCTGCAACATTTTATTAACATTAGCATGCCCACCAATTTGCTCAACATTCATCTTCTTCTCTAAGCATGCAGGAAATTCTACATTCAACTCCCTCTGATTCCCAGCATTTAGAAATCTAGGATTGCTGATCTTCATCTTCAGATTCTGTCAAAACATCATCATAAACCACATTATAGAACCAATAACCATTTATTAATCCATTATATAAAAAGAGACACAGCACAAACATGTATGTACATATATGAAGGAAAACCATAGTAATTAATCCCCGCCAGTAACAGTGATAACGGTTTAGTTCAGTTATTTTTGTTAATGCATAGTATTCTAGATTTTTTGAAACTGATCCGATTTCAAAATGAACTTCCTTTGAAACCGAACTAAATTCTGTCAATTCGATTCGTCAATTATTAATTAAAAAAAAAACTGTTTGCTATTATTTAATATTATTTTTAATATATTAAAATATATTTAGATATAAAATAATTTATTTTATAAAAATTTAAAAGTTACATAAAAACTAATAAAAGTATAATTTGGTCTGGTTCGGATATCTTCAGTTTTTCACTTTTCAATCTGAAAACCATTCTGAATTTAAACATTTAGCATCTGAATTGAACTGAACACTATAATTTCAAATCTATTTTCAATTTTCTTGGTTTTTTTGCTCAGCCCTACAGCCAAGTTCAGGTTTCACTTGAGGCTGAACCAACCAAATTCAGGCCCAACCAATGTAACTGAGTACGCATGTTTTTGACAAAACCTGGTCAAGACCCAGACAGTCAAACCAATTTTCATCTATTTGTAAAATTAGGGATAATTAACAAGCAAAGGCATTTGATAGTTTAACATATATTCACCATTTTATAAATGAACATGGTAGATGTCCACATAATATAACTGTGGTTCAACAATTGACCAAAGGGACAAATGACCCACCTTCATCAACTTGATGTCTGGGCTGACTTTTATTACTCTTGGAAAAGAAAACCCAACCAAAAACAATATCAAGACGCTAAACTAATCAATATAACAAGTCTTTCAGCTCATGCAGTGGCACCAAACATAATAAGAGGTCTAAAGGAGAACAGCCCATACAGAGTTGTTGTAGCCACTAATTATATCAAATATGCAAACAAATCGTTATTCACTAGCCCTACACAGTACACACCATTATGTGGGTAGATAAGGGTAAATACCAATAATTTTAGTAATGTAAAAAAGTTCAAACAAAGTTAGGAGAGAAAGTGAAGGGTCAATTGCTTTTAATATTATACAACTCACTTTGTTATTTGAGGAAATAGGGAGAGAAAAAAAGTTTTGAGTTAAGTATAACACTAAGGTGGATTGAATTTTTAAAAATGAGACAAGGTTCGTTATCACTTAGTCAGCAGCAATATAGTAAAGATTATAACACTAAAAATTAAAATGGCTAAAAAAAACATACCTTGATAGGAAATTTTGACTGGTTACTTAGTTCCAACACAAGATGCCGTAAGTCTCCCATATATGTTTTTTCTGGTAAAGAATGAATAAAACCCTCAAGCTTGGGTAGACTCTAGACATTAATCAAAAAGCAGTGTAAGTTAGATGCAGTTCCACAAGGGAGAGAGAGAGAGAGAGAGAGGGAGGGAGACCGCAATAAAAGCAGGTTCAGAGGACACATGCACCTTAATCACTATAAACTTCAAGTCATTGCTAGGAGAATGCTTAGCTTTCCTTCTTCCTTTCACAACCTTTTTATTCACAGAGTTAGACTCAAAATTATGAAAACCCACTACTGAACTTGACAATTGCCATTTAACACCAACAATTTTCAGAATGCCTTCTACTCTTGGAGTAACGATTAGTTGCACCTGAATAACAAGATATAGCAAATAAAAATTCAGAAAATTTTAGTAACTAATGAATGAAGTATTTTAGTTACACTACATCATGGATAAGATCATCAATTAGGTAATATAGCTGTTCTTCCTCATGATTTCAGTTTCTAACATAAGATTATAAGTCTATAACAGTCCATGAAACAAAATTAAACTTTTTGAAATCTTCACAAGTAAAATTTAATTGCAGACGACAATTCATACCAACACTCCCATCTATAATTTATTCAAGTATTCCTGAAAGATACGCACCAAGGTTGTTTCACACCCTTCCAATGAAAAGTCAACCTCAGACAAAATCAAAGATGAGTTGACATCCCTGCAGTCATCATGCAAACACCTATATCAGCAGTTGTATATGGTATTCACACACATGCATACATACAAACATATATATATATATATATATATATAGAGGGGGAGAAAGAGAGAGAGAGAAACAGCCCTACATACCCATTGGAAGTTGATGTGTTGTTTTCATGATTCTGGAGCTCAATGTTTGAACTATTTGCATCTGCATGATAATTGATGCATTGATAAACCAATTTAAATCAACATTATAGATAAGTTGAAGAAAGGAACAAAGACAAAAGGAGAAAGGTAAAAGGTAAAAGGTAAAAGGTAAAAGGTAAAAGGTAAAAGACTTTAACAACTTGCCAGAGTTTAATTCATCAGGATTTGTAGAAAGCTCACAGATCAAAGAAACACTTGAGATGGAAATAGAGATTTGCAGGGGGTTTTTAAATTCAATATCCACTTTTATTGCTTCTGCAAACAAATGAAGAAGAATATATAAAAATGATCCATCAATGTAAAAATAAATTACACCTTTTGCATCTTCTCTTTGCTATCTATTAAATCACCATTTTACATTTCTAATAGTTAAAGTTTGAGATTTCAATTGAGTAGAAGTTCAATCTAAAATTCCTTCCCAGGAATGCTAAAGCTTGATTCTGTGGTAGGAAACCATTAGTACAGGACACCTAAATTGAATATAAATACTTGAAAATTCTCCTTCCCTGCCCATAACGTCGCTGCCAACAAGAAGTGCGTATGCTTGTATACAATATATGAATCAATTTCGTGCACAAGAAAATTTAAAATCATAATATCATGTCATACTCAAAACTCAAAAGATTGAAAAGACACCAGTCATCAATCTCATAAATAAGAATGGCTTTTCAAGGGTATATGAACATGTAAGATGTGGCAGATGAATCTCCTAGGGTAAAATGAGCACAATAACACTGTACACTTTACTAAGTAACCCACTGTTTGCAACTGACACCGAATTACCACAAGAAATAAGCCATCCATATATGTTTGCATCACGATGTTTTGTTATATACAAGTTAAATAACAGCCATAACCAGACAACAAAAGCAAGAGATCAATAATGCAGCTAAATATGGCAGCAGGAACAAAAAATTGGTTGTCATTCCCCCTCCCCAATCACAATAAACTGGGCTACCAAGGCCCCATCCAGTTAAGACAGTTGCATAACATTTCTACAAATTCATAGAACAAGAAAGAACAAAAATTAGCACAACCAAAGAAAATATTTTCCCTTAAGTTGACAAACTTCACCAATCATGTCCCTCCAAGATTAGTGCAAAGCATGCATTTTTGTCCCCTTTCATTTTCATAAACTCTCACCCATTTGCAACCACCTTGTCTCAGAGCTTTAGACTGTCATTCTCTCATCCAGTTTGTCCCAAGAGGCTCAATGAGCTTGCTTATTAATTACTTTATTACAGACTTTTCTATCTATTGGATGCCTATGAAACGAGGGACACTTTGGAAGTTCAGCAAAACTTGTTTTCAATTTGAAATTGATAAAATACATCCAATAGACTTCATTCACCTTTATATTACAGGAAAGTTTATATTGCTGGAAAGTTTTGAAATGTGCTCTGAAAAATGAATCCTTGTTAAGTGAAACAAAAAAAAAAAAAAAGTTCCCACAATATATATTAAGACTAATATACATTTCAAAATTTAAATAGAGTCAGCAAATCAGTTTCTTGCATAGTGGAACTTGTATCTCTGCTAGAAAGAAGTTGAGGTTTAGAGTTTAATTCTAGGCATCAGAATGGAATTAGGTAAAGGTTTAGGGTAGTTGCCTCGTGTTATAAAACGTATCCAATTGGGAAAAAATAACAAATGAAATGAATGAAATCTCCCAGAGGAACTCCCTCTAGATGTTTTTCATAGCACAAAGAAGATGAAATTAGGGAACCAAGTAGGCTGAAACTCTGCAGCTGCAAAGGTGATCTAGAAATTTTTGCAGATTAATCGCTAATAGAACAGAGTATAGAGCTGTAGAATAGAATTTGCATAAGGCAATGAGGAACTTGAGCACAAATTATTGCAGTACATGGTACCAGGCCTTATCTAGGTTCAAGTTTTTGACCTATCCAGTTAGTTTAGAAACAATAAACAACGAATCAGCCCTCACTGGCTATTATATATAGAATGCTTTGTTGCTAAAGAAAAATAGCCGAATGTGAACCACTCACCAACCAAAAATCTTCTAAGTATTTGTATTGACAGAATTCTAAGTCAGAATGTGAACATTTCTTTGTCCTACAAAACCATAATTTAGCATTATGTGATGTACTAACACCTTCATACCTCCAGCAACACAAATATTTGATTCTTTATATTTTTTTGGCATAAGCTTTGATTGTAACTCCAGCCAGTTGGACCTGGCAGTAGACAATGATGGGATCATGTCTTCCTCCAGTGAACGCCATACGCTTTCTTTGACATTAGCCTGCAAAAAAAAAAAAAAAAAATCACATCAACCACAAATCATCTAAACCACTATTGAAACATACTGACTAAGCATATCAATGAACCACAGGGAAGCATATGTGGTTTATGTTTGAAAATTGACTTCAGTAATTCCATGCACAAAAATCACAATCATAAACAAAAACTAAACTAAAAACTATACGAGTCCCAACAAGCAACTCTTTAGCAATGACTTCTTCACAAATTTTAGTATTTTACCATATGAAGATCATCTATACATCCAATTTACTTTGTTCATATGAGAAGATAGCTAAAAACATGATCCATAAGCCAACATCAACTTGATCACTTTTCAACAAATATATGTGTGCTTTTGCAAGCAAGCATGCACAATCCAACAATTAACAGTGACATAAGAACAAGGGGAAAAACAAAAGCTAGAAAGAGGCATCTTCAAGAACAAGAACAACAAGAACAACAACAAACTAAGCCTTATATCCCAAAACTCTAGGGTCAGCTGTATGAATGTCCAAAAAAAGGAATAATGTTAGATCGTAGTTTTGAATCTTCTTGCGCCATTCATTTCAATTGAAAAACAACCTTTTCATCTACTTCCTTAACCCTCAAAGAGGCATCTTCAAGAAAATTGAATAGAAAAACCACAATTCCAGATAACGACAAATAGTAGTTCAACTTACTGCTGCAGCAGATGCATAAGTTCGATGATCTTCAAAAGTGACTTTAAGTGAGGAAATATTGATAACGGGCAACTGAAGTTTCAACACCTCAAATGTCTTCCCAGTTTTCTATATCATCCAAGAAAAAGGTAATTAGACAACCCTGTTAAACTTGAACATGACAAACTAATGAAAAACAAACCCACTTTTCATAACATAGGGTAGATTTTGTATATTCTAAGAAGATTTTGTATGTTCTAAGAAGCTCCTATTTTATTTTTACTTTCAGTCCATCTACCAAGCAGGAAGGAAATTAAATTAGTAACTTGTGATCCACCTGAACAATCTGAAGAAAATCTGTCAGAAATAGCTCCTGATTTGTCTTTGACTGGTGACTGCTGGCCAAGACCTCCAACATATGAGAGACAGCAACATCATACATGCCAAGAATACCATACCACCTATATCAAGTGAGTTTTATTAGCAATATTCCAAAATAAAAATTCAGAAATCATTAAATTTGTATAAGATCCAGCTGCATCGTTTATGTAACTTACTGTCCAATGTGGAAATGCACATGATCTTTGATAAGGCTCCATGTGCTTCCTTTGTAAACAGAAACAGCACTTCTATACGTGCGAATCGCGTGTTTAATCTGAAGAACAAAACAATATAAAACATTAGAAGAGGGAAGGTTTGATACGTTATTGCAATACTAAAGAATTCAAATACCTGATCACATTTTTTATAATGATCACCAGAGAGAACAAGATGAAACCCATATTTATGCAGCATTGGTGGTTTTGATAACAAATAGCAAAAAGATGCTTGCTCAAGCATCACAGCTGAATGTAAAGGATCCTAAGGGAAAAAAACAAAAAAGGTTGTGAGTGACAGAGAATATGAACTCAACCCAAAGTGACTCCTAGAAATAGAACATTACCTCACCACAAATGCGGAAATAAACAGTGGCAGCTTCTTTAATCTGATCTCTTGTCTTCAGCATCTCTACCCACCAAAGACCACATCTGGTAGCATTTTGTTGACCAGCAGATCCAAGCTTCTGCATGAATTGAATAAATAAAGGAAAAAGAAGAATCACAATGGAAGACGTTAAAACTCAATTGGAATTTGCTACATTCCATTCCTAGTTGTCAACACAACTGGTCCTAATTACTTAAGCAAACCAATATAAGACTTAGCTCATTCTATAACAACAATAACAACAAAACTAATCCTTATATCCCATAACTCTAGGGTCGACTGTATGAAAAGCCAAAAAAGGAATCATGTTAGGTTGTATTTTGAATCTTAAGACTTAGCTCATTCTAGCAGAATAAAAATCCAGAAAACATCCCCAAGACCATAAATCCTTTTCATGTAAACCATTGGACCAGTGTATAACATAACAATGCTGAAGGACATTTTTCAAAGGGCCAAGGGGATTTCTTTACTGTTGGAGAACCCATTAAGTTTACCTTGGCTTATGAAGAAAACAACATTTATCTGACCAAGCTATTGCAAGCCATCAATCCCCATCCACCAAAAAATCACATGTAGAAAACTTTACCAAATCTATCCAATGCCATTCACATAATAACTTCTCCACTCTCAATAGACACAGATATTTCATTCAAGGTTCCACCCTAACTGTTCATCTTTAAAGCATCCTTCACCCATGCTAACTATAGCAAAAATGGATGTTAAGGATATCTTGATAATATAAGGCAGAAATGGCTATAACAAACAGGAGATCATTCAAATATATGGCGAAAAGAAATGATGATATCTAGAATCAGTTCACTTATATTTTGCAGATTCTATATTTCAAATAGACATCAATTTTCTTCTTCAGCTTAAAAATCAATGGATTCCATGCTATAGATCACAATTCTAGAAAATAAACATTACTTGAAGGGAAGCTATTAATGAAATTCTCGTAAACCATATCGACAAAACATATTCAGTTTTAAAGCCTAAAATAATTACAAGAAAAAAAGAAAGGAGCCAAGAACTATACATACTAAATAAGTATTAAATGCATTTTCCATGCAGTACTGGGCTTCTTTTCTTGATTGATCAAGCAAGAAGTATGTAAGCCCCATCATCTCCTGAAATGAACACGACATGAGAAGATTACAAACAGAAAAGCAGAATAACCCTAGAAGCAAGCCCAAATATACCGTAGAAAGTTTTCATGAGATCTATGTCAATGAGAATAAACAGAAATTTGTACTTTCCTTTAATTTGAAGATTCAAACCATTCACATGAAACACAAACCAAGCAAAAGAAAAGGAAAATAAACTTAAAGTGGAGAATGAACATAAAGAACAGAAAAAAATAGTTATATTTTACAAAAAAAGAAAAAAAACCCTTTGAAGCAACCTGCACACCAGCATAGCGCTTCCAGGCTTTATCAAGCTTGTAATCAGTGGAAATTAGGCGATAGTTCGATAGTGCAAGTTCATAGTCTCGTAACATGAATGCATAGTCGCCCAACATTCTAATCTGAGATTCAATTGAACTAAAGGTATACCTATGAACAGAGAAAAATAAATTAAATTAGGATAACTCAAGAAGAAATGTGAAACAGACTTGAATTTCAATGAATAAACAGCAACACTTACACAGGACCATTTGGGGTATCTATTGCATCTTCTTTCCCCTTCCTCCACCATAAATTTTTTATTTGATTCCTAAAACCTTTCCTTGTAGCAGAAACCTAATTTTAAAATGAAACATGACAAGAGGAATCAGAACATTAAAAAGTAAATAAGAAATAAAAAATTTAAAACAATACCTGTTGGTTCAACACACGTATCTTTTGTTCCATGTAAGGAATGATGTGTTTAGATGATAATTCTTGCATGAGATCTTTTATCTGTTCCCAGATGATGCAAGCATAAGTAGAATTACAAACAATATTGTCCAAGAATATCATATCAACTTGTTGAAAAAGTTACCTCACTGAAGTTATCAAGATTGAGGAAACAACCAAGATGTTTGGTAGGTAAAGCATCAGATTTCTGTCATAAAAGTACATGAATTAAAGCATTAAACTGACTTTATCAAATACTTTTTTTGGTACCTCGAACCAACATAAGATTCACCTATTATTTTCCTATGAACAAGTAAATAATTGAAAGATAATAATCTTCAAAGTCGAGTAATTTACAAAAGGAGCCCAAGGGTTCTCTTGATGATGGATCTGCCCATCTTGAGAAGAATTAATGCAAAGTAATTGACAGTCAGTTGGCCCAAATGTACTTCTCATCTCATTCAAAAGTTTAGTAGCCCTGGAAACAAAAAAAAAAAAAAAATTTAAAGCAAGTTTCATCTGGCTACACTGAGATCTTATCATGTATTGCTTTCCCCACATGGCACCTGCTTTAGTTAACTGAACTATACATAAAATTATTAAACTTATATCAGTACTTGAGCTTCCGTTTTAGTGATCATATTATCAAAACCAACCTGCAACCAAGTAGAACTTATGACAAAATCCTGATTGACGTATGATGAAAGAAAAATTGGTCAGAAAATTGGCTCTCCCAGCCTCAACAAAAGCTCAATCTGTGTCAATTTTCACATGTTCCATACCTACAGCTTCTTTGAGGACATTTTCTATCACAATCATTTGTTTTATTCCATGTAATGTAGGATTCTTTTATAAACTAGGTTTCTTCATACATGATGGAAATCTCTTTCCATGTCTTTTGATATTCAAACACAGGTTCTTGCTTATTCTCCACTTGGTCTCATTACTAAATACGTACAACTGGTTGGTAATCTACTATATTCAATTCGGTGCGGCTTAAATATTCTTGCAGGCCTTACATGCAGCCCATTACATGTCCTAGTAAGAAAAAATATATATCTGCACATTGCTCCTAAAACAGAAAAACAAATGGTTAACCCTATACAGGCATGCATGTCAGTCTGAAATTATAGAGCTGTTTTTAGCAGCATTGCTGTCATGCTTATTGCACTTAATCATTTCAAGAACAGCAAGATAAGAAAGTGTGGCATACTTCTCTGAATCACCATCTTGATTATCATGCACAAGTAAGTAATGCTTCAAAATCTTTGGGTCCATGGCACCGTCATTGAAAAGAGAAGGCAATTTGTTGGTGTTAAAGAGGTCTACAAATCTATTTATGGGTTCCTCATCCTTTGAAGAAACGACCAAAAGGCCTGCAAATCATTTTGGACAAGTAGCAATCAACAAATGAATGCAATATGGCATCTAGAATGAACATTTTAAGGAAACCCATAAGTGGAAGGAACAAAATTAGCAGAGCTTAATTACAGCAACAGGGAAAAAGAAAACAAGAAAGGTATCTAATAAATTTCCAAAGCTTACATGCCACAGGATGATCAAAAGCTTCATGGTCTGAAAAAGACAAGGTGCGTACAAGCTCTTTGTTAAAAAACTGAAACCATGATGGTAAAATTTCAGATTCAGGCCCTGCAGAAAACATTCACCGTATATAAATCAAAGCAGCTAGGTAAAGTTTTAATAAAACTAAGAGAGAAAGAGCATGCTAAGAAATCAGACAATCTCACTAGTATGTTAAAAATGAAAAACTAGCCACATGGAAACAAAATGATAATAAAAAATGACAACAATAAACTGTGCATATTGATACCTGCTAAAAAATATCAAAATCAAATGTAACTTACTAGAGAGAAGATCGTTAACTTGAGGTGGGTCTGAAGACATTTCAGAAAAATCTTTCTCCCCCACCTGGGTAATAACCTGCTTTAGCCTCTCCTTTGCTGCCTAGTCAATCAAGAAGAAAATTTATCAGATGATTGAAATTGCACACACACGACAGAGCTAAAATCAATCAACTTTTATTCCAACTAAACCAAAACCCGTCAAACTCCCTCATCTGTTGATTTGCAATGAACAAATAATTCTATCTCAATCATATCATTTAAATTACATAGTCCAATATTAAAATACTTTATCAAAGCTAAAGAACCAATGTCAGGTATTTTAAAACTGAAATAGCTCTCAGTGGCTTCCAACTCAAATAGTAGCCTACTAATGCTGTTGATTATGTGCCCAATTACCCAATTTTTTTATCCACCATTTCCAATTCATACATAATTGAATTCAAGTAACCTTCACCTCCTTAAAAAGAGAGAGAGAGAGAGAGAGAGAGAGAGAGAGAAAAAAAAAAAACAAAGCAGCTATATTATTAAGCTACAAAACCTGTAATCTCAAGAAAAATTACCTCGAGATTGGGTTGTCGAATATCCGTGGCATAAAACAACCGCAATTTGAACTTCTGCAGCCTGTAGGGTTGATCACTTGCCGTCCGTACAGGCACTGCCACCACAATTCAGATAAGTAATAAAAAAAGAAAGTAATCACCTCACAATTGGACGTACATATGCATAAAATTACGTATAAAAATTCGTAGACAAAATTTTGAATTATTCACCGTCAATGTTGGTGAAGTCACAGAAAGGGGAGAGCATTTGGATAAGGGAGAGGCCGTTCTTAAGGCAAGCTTCTTCTACAAGTGGAGTGCAGAGTACCATAATCACCGGAGTGATCTCCTCCAATAGCATTTTGCCAAGTGGCGTGTTTGCCGGATCTGTCATCGCTCTCCCTCTCTTTCCTTCTCCTCCAATTGTCAGTTGCTCTAATAAGAGCCTGAGATCTGTTTTTCTAAATATCCACGTTGATTGAACCGGGGAGTTAGAGAGTCGATTCGGTTTTCTGAGAGGCGATGGAATAGTGCGGTGTAGCTGCCGCTTCTTCGATCGGATCTTTGGTTTGCTGTCGATGGAGGTTTATAGTTTGTTAGAGAGAGAGAGAGAGAGAGAGAGAGAGAGAGAGAGAACGTGGTGGTGACTTGTGACGTTGGGAGAAGAAGTTGTGGGCTTGTGGCCCGTTTTGTAATAGATAAGCTTCGACTATCCATGGCCGTGTTAGACGGGTTCATAGCCCGTAAAAGCACGGGCTCTGAATATCGATGCGCACGCACTGGGTTGAGTCGGTGAACGTCTTTATTTTCATCCATGTTGAGCGTTGACACAGTATTTAAAAAAAAAAAAAAAGTAGTATTTTGATAATCGAAAGGTCGAACAAATTTTGACGTTTGATTTTTGGTTCAATAAAAAATTTTAATATTATATTTTAAAAATTTACAAATAAATAATAAAAAATATAAGAAAAAAATTAAAAATAAGAAAAATAGTAAAAAAGATATAACCTTAACATAACTTAAAAAAAACTTAAAACACAAATTAAATATGAGTAGGGTTTAGTGGAAATGAAATCAAACTATTATGTTTAAAAAAAATACTCAAATTAAAATTATATATTGTAAATTCCTAAATTGTAGAAAAAAAATTTATAAAATTAATGTGAAAAATGAAAAATATTTGTGTTTTGTAACACTACCGTTGCTCGCTTCGCTTCACTGTGTTTAACAAACGGAGCCAATAAAACCCACTCACCGCCCCACTTCCCATAGTGCGATCCGTTTATTTTCCCTTCCTTGTATAAATGTCCCTGCGCTTGCTGAGCGCTAATAATAAGCTTACTTTGCCTCTTTCCAAACGGCTCCCTCTCGCGTCTGCGCTGATCTCTCCCTTTCCTCCACTCCAGATTTCCTCTTTCGCCATGTCTTATCGCCCTAACTACCAAGGCAGCCGTCGAGGAGGCGGTCCCAACTCCGGACGCGGGGGCGGACGTCGAGGCGGCGGCGGCGGCGGCCGCGGTGGTCGTGGCGGTGAGCAGCGCTGGTGGGACCCGGTTTGGCGAGCTGAGCGACTCCGTCAAAAGGCAGCCGAGGTATCTAAAAACTGTAACTTCTGTTTTTGGCCGTTTGAAATTGTATAATAAAGGTTTAAAGCTGCTAATTGTAAGCATATCGATTAGGTTTATACCTCTTTATGTAATTAACCTATGTTTGGCTGTTCTTATTGGCGCATTTGGATTCAAAGGTAAAATACTAACAATTTTGAATGATTATAAAAACTGTAACTTTTGTTTTTGGCCGTTTGAAATTGTATAATAAAGGTTTAAAGCTGCTAATTGTAAGCATATCGATTAGGTTTATACCTCTTTATGTAATTAACCTCTGTTTGGCTGTTCTTATTGGCGCATTTGGATTCAAAGGTAAATACTAACAATTTTGAATGATTGTAAAAAGTTTTTCTTAATATCAAAATTTATGATTTTACTTTGTTTGAATGAGTGTTAGCTTGGCAAGTTTAACTTTTTGCTCATTTTTAACCAAGTATATCATTTAACTTTTTATCAGTTGCTTTTGCTTTATAACAACAAAGTAAGAAGCAAATTATGACTAACACAAGTAACAACAAAAATGGAACTTTATTGTTATTTTTAATATGCTTGTGTTTATGTTTAGATGGAAGTTCTTGATGAGGTTGAATGGTGGGATAAGATGGATCAAATGAAAAAAGGAGGGGAGCAAGAGATGATCATTAAACGAAATTTCAGCCGTTCCGACCAGCAAGTTCTTTCTGATATGGCTTACCAATTAGGTCTTTACTTGTATGTGTAACATTACTGCTTGGCAATTAGCGTCATATTTAGTTTGACTATGGTTTTGCCCAATCATTTTAATATATATATGGTCGAAGTAAAGATGGTTGCTTTCCAATTTTAATATATAATGGTTTTGCCCAATCATTTTAATATATAGCGTCATATTTAGTTTGACTATGGTTTGGCAATTGGTCGAAGTAAAGATGGTTGCTTTCCAATTTTAATATATATATATATATTTTTTTTTTTTTTTCTTAATTTTACATTTTCTTTTTTTTTTCTCATTGATTTTGCACTTGTGGAAAGAAAGCCATGCATATAATAAAGGGAAGGCTCTTGTGGTTAGTAAAGTTCCATTGCCAAATTATCGGGCAGATCTTGATGAACGTCATGGATCTACACAGCAAGAGGTTAGAACTGAATGCTACGTATATTGTTAATGTCATTGTATTCTTACAGAGCATGTTCATGTAAGTTCTTTTTCAACTTTTGTACAGATTCGCATGTCTACTGAAACCGAGAGGCGAGTTGGAAATCTTTTGGATAGCTCAAGGGACACAAGATCTGCTGATGATTCTGGTGTGGCATCCAATAGGGAAGCCACAAAACAATTACCTGATGTAAAAATAACTGATTCAGTTTCTACTACTGAAGAGGATTCTGCCAAGGAAAAACTCAGTGCTGAACTCAATAAAAAGCAGGAAACATTGAAGGTGTGTATCTTATCTTAACATGTTATGATATTATCTTTGTTAACATCCCATATATCCCAATGGTCCAGGTTGCTCTGGTTAAATATTTCTCATGTTAATTAATCTCTTGCAGGCAAGTAATAGTGTGAAGGTGATGCAGTCTTTTAGAGAAAAACTACCTGCATTCAAAGTGAAAGCTGAGTTTCTGAAAGCTGTTAATGAAAATCAGGTCCAATACTTGTTTAAACCTAGTTTCTCATGAATTACGAGAACATCATTTTTTTTCTTAGGTGTTACTAGCTCTGCTGATTACATGCTTGATACTGCCAAACCGGGAGAAAGGAGGCCGACAACTAGATGGTAGTGTAAAATTATAGTCACTTTCATATAAACAAGGAATTTAAATAAATATTCATAGTGCATGCTATGCTTAAAGAATTTTGCAATAATTGTGCACTTCTTTTGCAATAAAAGAAGAGTCTTCCTCGTGCTGGATACTCCAATTTGAACAGTGCATATATGATTCTTTAGTCTTTTTATAAGTTTCATTACAGGGTATTACGAAGTTATCCATGAGTTTTTTTCATATGTTATATTGTAAGTTACGGGTCATGAAAAAACCTGTTCATAAATTCATATGCTAAAATCATAGGCTTTCTATGCACATGCTTGTATAGTTGTTATATTGATCCTTGATACTTTGACCATAAGCGGACAAAGTTTTGATTTAAATCAAAGAGGGAGTTGAATGCTTGAATTGATCATTAGAAGAGTCGAGGCACTTGCTTTGTAGGCAAGATGAGCTAGTGACAAGCTTAAGCTCAAGCTAAACTGATTTTCTGATTTTTGTAATTTATTCACTGGTGCAGGTTCTAGTGGTTTCAGGAGAAACGGGCTGTGGTAAAACAACACAGCTTCCTCAATTTATTTTAGAAGAGGAGATATCATCTTTACGCGGGGCTGATTGTAACATAATATGTACTCAGCCACGTCGTATTTCAGCCATATCTGTCGCAGCTAGAATATCCTCAGAAAGGGGAGAGAGTCTTGGTGAAACAGTTGGTTATCAGATTCGCCTAGACTCAAAGTGCTCTGCTCAAACACGACTCTTGTTTTGCACAACTGGAGTGTTACTCAGACAGTTGGTACTATTATGTCCTCTTTTGTTGTTTAAATTAAGTTTGAATCTCTATTTTGTTGTTTTCTTTGTAGTTCAATTTTTCCAGTTTTCTAGTTCTACTTTGCATTTAAGTTTTTTTTGGCTAGAAATCTGATTCTTACAGCCTTGTTGCTACTTGACTTTTATGGTGTTTAGCAATCCTGTCACTGACAAATCATGCAGTTTTCTCTCACTGTTACAAAAATTTTTCTCGGTTACTTCAGTGATGCTTCTTGCAGGAAATTTTTGGAATGCTTAAAGCACACCTGATGTTATTAAACCACATGGTTTTCTCTCTCTGTTGGGAAAAGTGTTCTTGGTTGCTTTAGTGAATTTTTGGGTTGCTTAAAAAGCACTAGAACATTTGTTTGCTTCATGTTCTCTTGATGTGATTTTTCCTCTAGTCAGCTAGTTGTGCTTAATTCTAGTTGTGCTTAATTCTGTATTTCTCTGCTATAACATCTTTTTCTTTTATTTCTATATTTTTTCTGAAACTCCAGGTTCAGGACCCAGATTTAAATGGTGTGAGCCATTTGCTAGTGGATGAAATTCATGAAAGAGGCATGAATGAGGACTTTCTGTTAATAATTTTGCGTGACCTTCTTCCTCGGCGTCCGGACTTGCATCTTATCTTGATGAGCGCAACCATCAATGCTGATTTGTTCTCCAAATATTTCGGAAATGCACCAACTATTCACATACTGGTATAGAGAGTGGTGAAGTTACATAGTGAAACATGTTTTCTGTTCTGTTCATTGCGTATACTGTATTTTCATGTCTTTTAACATTATTATTTACTTTGTATATGCAGGGGTTGACTTTTCCAGTGGCAGAGTTATTTCTAGAGGATGTGCTGCAGAAAACTCGATATAATATTAAATCAGAGTTTGACAACTTTCAAGGCAATTCACGAAGAAGAAGGAAAGAGCTGGATTTGAAGAAAGATGATTTAACTGTACTGTTTGAGGCATGTCTTCAAAGATAAATTCAATCATCGTCAGACTCTTTCTAACTATTAAATTTTGGAAAGAATTAACAAATACAATCAAAGGGTCATTGCCTAGTTATTCCGCCACTAAAGCGGGGCCATAAACATTTATATATGTTACCATTCTTGCAAAGTTTTTTCCTTGAAAATTTTAATTAATACAAAATTTTTGAACTAACTAATAGTACATAAGTTTACCATAGAGAATCATTCTTGAGGGGTCCAACCAAAGCAAGGTGCTGATAGGAGTGGTCTGAAAACCATTTTACACTTTCATTTTTGGCAAACTAACTGGTTTCAAATCTAGTACTTGCACTGCTGTGTTCTTTATCTTAATAATTTTTCACATGGTGCCAATAATGAGTATTTTATGTCTAGTAAGTTTTACAAAAGATTATTGTTCCGCCTCCTTTTATGCTTACTTAATAGACTTCTAGGATAAATGTGCTTGTTGTAAGTGCACATTTTAGCTTGATTTCAGTTGTGTTACTCTCTCTCTCTCCCCATTTTCTCAGTATGAATATTAATTCATATTCCTGTTATTAGCAGTTTAGCTAGCATATATTAACTGGGGATTTAATGCTTTCATCCGTCAAATGTAAATAGGTAGCTTCTATCAATAGATAGGAGAGCAAGCCATTTACTGTTTGTGAACTTTATTCTTTAATTCTGTTAAATAAATTATTACATTGTGGCATTTTCTTATGTAGGATGTCAACATTGAGTCTCATTATAAGAATTACAGTGCATCTACGAGACATTCACTTGAAGCATGGTCGGGTTCACAGATTGATTTGGGTCTGGTATGTAATTTATGAAGTTAGCCAATCACTGAAACTTGCTTTTGTTGCCAGCTTGAAAGGGAAATGTATGTAGTGCGACTTTCTAATTATCATTTGATGGATGTTTGTTTGCTTATTGATTTTCTTTTGGCTCCTGCCTTTGTCATGGTTATAGTGAAACAAAGTTTCGGTCTTTTTTCTTTTTTTTTAAAGAGAAAGAACATATGTTGTTGCTTTTACTAAATCACTTTTTGCAATAATATTTTAAACTATATTACTCTGTTGCTGCATGTCTAATCATGTTACCATTGTTGGAAATTTCTAGGTGGAGGCCACAATTGAACATATTTGCCGCCATGAAGGTGATGGAGCAATTCTTGTATTCCTCACAGGCTGGGATGACATTTCTAAGCTCCTTGACAAGATCAAAGTGAACAGTTTTCTTGGGAATCTTAGCAAGTTTCTGGTTCTTCCTCTACATGGTTCGATGCCTGCCATTAATCAATGCGAAATATTTGACCACCCTCCCCCTAACAAGCGGTAGGAACTTCTGCATTATTGGCTTGTTTTTTCTTGAAGTTGTATGGTGATCTTCACTGTGACAGTAAAGATGGATTTTCCTTGTCAAGTGGAGAGTAATAACTTCTTGCCCTAAGTGCTGTTTTTGCAATGTACTTTTCTGCATGGCTCCACAATTTTTGCAACATATGGGTCCATAGATTAATCTTTTCTGTAGATTTCCATTAACTGGTTACCATGCTCAATGCAGTTTTACTTTTCCCTTTTTATCATTTTGTTTTGGTTTCTTCTTTATCTCCAATTGTATTCTGAATCTGCTTCTCTGTTATCTTTTCTATAGATTTCCATTAACTGGTTACAATGATCAATGCAGTTTTACTTTTCTTTTTTTATCATTTTGTTTTGGTTTCTTCTTTATCTCCTCTTGTATTCTGAATCTGCTTCTCTATCTTTCAGAAAAATTGTTCTGGCGACAAATATTGCTGAAAGTAGCATCACCATAGATGATGTTGTGTATGTTGTAGACTGTGGAAAGGCAAAGGAAACAAGTTATGATGCTCTTAACAAGCTGGCATGTCTGTTACCATCATGGATTTCAAAGGCTTCAGCACATCAGGTATTCATTTAGTTTCAAGAAAGCCTAGAGTTAATGGGTAATTCTCTGTATTTATTCCATGTTTTGACTAGTTTCACCTGTTACCAAGTTTGTCACTTTTTGATATGGTGGGTCAATTTCAGAGACGGGGTCGTGCTGGCCGTGTGCAACCTGGAGTTTGCTATAGACTGTATCCAAAACTAATCCATGATGCAATGCTTGAGTATCAATTACCTGAAATTCTTCGAACACCTTTGCAAGAGCTATCCCTTCATATCAAAAGGTTGCAACTTGGAACCGTGGGATCATTTTTGGCAAAGGCACTTCAGCCGCCAGATCCTCTTTCTGTTCAAAATGCGATTGAGCTTCTTAAAACAATTGGAGCTTTGAATGATGCAGAGGAGCTTACTCCGCTTGGTATCTATCTATCTTTTTTTTTTCAAAAGAAAAAATTGTTCTGTGACATATGTTCGCTCTAGGATATTAACTGTTATCTGAATTGTTGTTTTTGCAGGTAACCATCTTTGCTCTCTACCTTTGGACCCAAACATAGGAAAGATGCTTCTAATGGGAGCTATTTTTCAATGCCTGAATCCAGCTTTGACAATTGCAGCTGCTCTTGCACATCGTGACCCTTTTGTCCTTCCAATAAATAGGAAAGAGGAAGCTGATGCAGCAAAAAGATCCTTTGCTGGTGATTCTTGCAGGTTAGGCTGCTATGCTAAGTCATTCTTTCCCATTTGAATAACAAATTAAAATTAATTATGATCATGTTACTAACTGGAAAATATAAAATTTTTTAAATGTAGTGACCATATAGCACTTCTTAAAGCTTTTGAAGGATATAAAGATGCAAAACGTAATGGAAGAGAGAGAGCATTTTGTTGGGAAAATTTTTTATCGCCAGTGACCTTGCAGATGATGGAGGATATGAGAAATCAGTTTATTGACCTGTTATCAGACATAGGCTTTGTAGACAAATCACGGGGTGCTAGTGTAAGCTGTTTGTCTTATCTAATTTTCTTGCCATACATAAACCTTTTTGCTACCCTCCCATTTCTTCTTTTTTCTATAGTTGTGCCTATGTATACCTTTTCAAGCATCCATGGGCATGCTTGATTTATGATGTTTTAATTCACACATTATACATATGCTGCAGATCTTTATCATGGTCTTTGGTTGGTTTTTTATCTTAAAAATGGGAGCTGTCCAGTTGTGCTTATAGTTAAGTTCGATATATGTTTTTATACAGGCTTACAACCGGTACAGCCATGATCTGGAGATGGTATGTGCCATCCTTTGTGCTGGGCTTTACCCAAATGTTGTGCAATGCAAAAGAAAGGGAAAGCGTACAGCATTCTATACTAAAGAAGTTGGAAAAGTTGACATTCATCCTGCATCTGTTAATGCAGGGGTTCATCACTTCCCTCTGCCTTACATGGTTTACAGTGAAAAGGTTAAAACAACCAGCATATTTATCCGAGACTCAACAAACATATCTGATTATGCTTTGCTTCTGTTTGGTGGTAATTTTATTCCTAGCAAAACAGGAGAGGGTATTGAGATGCTTGGAGGGTACCTTCATTTTTCTGCATCAAAGAGTGTATTAGACTTGATACGGGTAATGTCTCATATGCCTTTCCTTCGCACAAAAAAAAATAAAATAAAATCCTCTGATCTAGTTTAAGCAATAGATGAAGATCATAAAGGAATTTTTAAAATATATTTATATCTATTTATTATATTTATTATTATTATTCTGCAGAAACTGCGTGGTGAACTTGACAAGCTTTTGAACAGAAAGGTTGAAGAACCAGGATTTGACATTCCTGCAGAAGGAAAGGGAGTGGTGTCTGCTGTGGTTGAATTATTGCACAGTCAAAATGTTCGGTACTGAATTCATACTTTTTTGTCTTTCTCTAACATTCTTCATAGTAGGACGCACTTCTGCTATTCTTTTTATGTCATAATATAGCAACATATAACTTATTAGGACTGGTACTGTAATCTAATGTATTCAATATTCCTGTACACATTGTTGAAAGCGTTTTTTATAGCAATATGGAGAAGAAAAAAAGGGGGAAGGGGTGGGGGAAGGAGGACATGGTCCTAGGTTATTTTTTACTTATCCTTCTGTCCGCCTTTCCAAAATCAGGCGTCTCCTGTTTCAATGGAAAATACAGTAAGGCAGCTCTTCCGATGATATCTTCCTGTTGAATTCTAATGGTATACAATAGTTGGCTAGTTGCCATTGCAATTTATAGTTACCAAGTGGATATACGTTTGCCCCCAAACTCCTTTAGCTTTCAAGCTAAGAAAATCTTTAATGGACATTCTGATGGCTACTTGTGGATTTAAAATTCCTGGACACTTTCAGCTCTCACCCTAAAGACAGTTTTTGATCTACAATTGGATTGGAAACTTCTCTTAGCTTTGTTTAACTGTGGAATGCTCCCATTATCTTGCCTAATTAGAAGGACAATATGAACAAAATGGTCAGTTAGTATTCAGTAACAGAAGTGTGAACAAATTTATACAAGAAAGAAAACAAGTGTATTATGTTATAGTTCAGTTTACTGACGTTAGGGGAGAATCGACATTAAGTCTTTAAGGCTTCAATTTGTAACAGAAGATGATCATCTTCGTCTGAAGTGTCCGTTTGTAACGCGGAATGATCGTCCACATCCTCCGAAGAGTCGATTTGTGTTTCGGACAAGGGGGCTGGACTGGAGTAGCTGGATGAACATGCATATAAGTCGGAAGCTTTGATAATATTGCTTCAGGCTGAAAAAGTTTGATTACTTCTCCTAAATTTGTCCTTTCCTTGCTAGAAAGACGTGTACACACCATAATCCGACCACCAAACAACGCTCCATTTGATAGTGATCAAAATTTCCTTGCAATCTGCTATTGGCTGCATCAGCAAGGTGAAGCTGGCAGATCCAATTATGAATTGCACCAGATTAATGAGGATCTGGTTTTCTACCGGACAAAATTTCCGAGGCAACGATTCCAAAGCTGTACATGTCTGCTTCTTCACTGGCATTGGGTTCCTCCAGATATTCTGGTGCTTTGTAGCCAGGTGTTCCTGTACCTTTAGATGTCTGACTCGTCCTCAAGCTCGTGAGATTAGCAATCGCAAAATCATCAAGCTTATCTATGGATGACACACTTCTCTGCGGCCTTCATGAAGATATTGAATGGCGGTGAACTTCACAAACGTTTCTATGTATTAAACGCCTTATAAACCTCAATTCCTTGTTGAACTCACTCTCCGATTCAGCAAAACCCAATGTTCCTTTATAAACAGTGCGTCCGCCTTCGCCCTTCCTTCTATCGTCTGCAAAGTCGTTGGTAGCTGTGTGTAGTTCTTGAAGTGAAAACTGTATTGGTAATCTCTCCCTCAACGGAACTGCCACCGGTTAACTGCACCCTGATCTCTAATTGCTTGACCATTTTGGGCTTCATTCCTGGCTTATTTTCTCCTTTTTTAGCAGCAACCAGCTCACTGCAACGAGGACAAGCGCTGAGGTGCCAAACATACGACCAAATTTAAACATGATTAATGTTGTTATAGTCAGTGTACTGGTTTGTCCTTGCCGAAATACCATTTGCTTACCTCTTTTGGGGAGAGGCTTTCCGTAAATTTCATCATATCAATATCAAAACCAAAAGAAAGCTATCCTATAAAAAACAGGTTTTCATACGGCTTCGTTCTGGAGACATCACTCAGGATTTTGGTCAGGGGGCATTGCAAAGTAATCGAGACATTAGTCAATTTCTTACATTGTGAGTCCACTACCCTTGGGGACAGTAGGCGCAGCAGATGCAAAATTATTGATCCCAACGCTATTGATTTCATGTTGAACTCAACTGGGATGGACATTGATAATGGGACCGTGGTGGAGTGATGATACTGGTTTTTTCATGTAACTCCCAAATTTCACGATGAGTCATCGGTGCGGTATTTCTAGCCCACAGGGCATGCAAGCAGAAGATGCAAGACATTTGTCATTGGGGTCAACATTTCGTAGTGTATGCCGGTGAAATGAGAAACAAGTACGAACGTCTCAGCTGCAAAATGTCATGTTTGAAGAGTTCTACAGGTGGATAGGCTTTGATACACACGCCAGCCAATGGGCCGAAGACTAACACGACTGGTTTTAGTAGCTTTAAGATCAATGAGCATTTGAATGGTGAAGACAACATCTTAATGATTTATAAGCAGACGTTTTGCTCTGACTGTTGCTAAGAATGCTGATACTTGGTTGATTTATCAGATATCAGATGTTTAGGTTCCCTTGAGAAACTTTGCCTTGTCATTTTTAAATAGTTGGATCCTTGGGTTTTATTTCTTTATTTTATGAACAATTGATAGCATTAATTAAGCTTAGGAAGTTACACTGGAAAAACTGTGGTTGTCCTTGCTTCTGAGATTATTATGTATTAAAAGGATCTCGTGTGCAGCGAACTATATGAAAGTTTAATATTTAACATAAATCTACATGCACCAGGTGGGAATTTCTTCTTGAAAGTTCAGTCTGTGGGGCAGTAGATTCCTCCATCACAATGGGAACTAACTTAACAGATAATATGATGTGTACGCAAGAATGCATCTAAAAAGGTCAAAAGAGATACCAAAAACTTCTAACTGAGAATCCCAGAAATCAAGTTAACCACTTCCTAGTTTGTCTTAAACTATTGCTGAAAAAGACGAAAATTCATACGGCTTCCAACCTGCCAGCAACCATCCAACTACAGCAAGACAAAGCTTCTTGTAGCATTTCAGGAATCATGGTGACTCACTTTCTTGTTACCTGCAGTAAGTGATTTTTTTTTTCTATGAATATCAACCAATTAGTTAACTGGAATTGCTATCTTAAGCAATGCCTCACTAAAACTTGAATCTTCGATTAACTATGACTCTGTATTCTTGCTCTGTTTGCCTTTTTACTTTCATAAGAAAATATATAGCGAGCTTTTTTTCTTTTTTTTTACAAAGGAAGCCGTAGTTTAGGGGATAGGAAAAAGGATTATAGGTGCTGAGATTTGAATCTCAAATTTAATAGATGCCACCTTTAAAGGTGACTGTATGAACCAACTGAATTAAGCTTTGTGTACAAAATCTAACAAGTTTATTAACATAAAATTGTTACAGTATAATAATTTACCTATTATTAGTAGAATATGGATCTGCTTTTGGGAATAACATAAAATAAGGGCAAAAGGAATGTATCATGGTTCAGCGAAGTACGTGAATATATCTTGAAAACTTCAGCACTATATCCACATTCCTTCAGTTGTCAATGGATAGACGAGGTAAAGGGGCTGGATGCTCGTGCATATCAAGTGGAAGCTCTGGCAATGGTGCTTCCAGTTGAAGAACTCTAATGACTTGCTCTGCATTTGGCCTTTCCCTGTCATTAGGATGAGTACACCATAATCCCACCATCAACAAGCATTGCATTTCATTTTCATAAAATGTTTCAATCTTCCATCAGCTGCATCAAGAATATTGCCATCAAAGTATAGCTGCCAAACCCACCTTAGGAGTCCACCATCTTGGTTAGGCTTTCTCCCAGTTGCAATTTCCAAGGCCACGATTCCAAAGCTATACATGTCTGTTTAGTTACGAGCTCTTTGTTTCCTGCATATTTCCGGTGCTAAGTACCCAGGTGTCCTACAACCCTTGTTGTTTGAGTCCTAAGTCTCTGGTCCACGAGCTTGGCTACTCCAAAATCACCAAGCTTGGTAGTGAAATCTGTGTCTAGCAAGACATTAGCTGATTTTATATCTCTGTGTAGGACGCACTGCTCTGCGCCTTCATGCAGGTAGTGAAGGGCTGAGGCCAAACCCATAGCTATCTTGTACCTAACATCCCAATGGAGTGTTGGTTTATTACCATGAAGATGATTCTCAAGGCTGCCGTTTGGCATGTATTCATAAACAAGTAACAATTCGTTTGATCATGACACCATCCGATGAACTTTACCAAGTTTCGATGTATCAAACGGCTTATAATCTTAAGTTCATTGATAAAGAAACCCTCGGATTCAGCAAATATTCTTTTTACAGCAACTAAGCGTTGATCCTCTAATGTTCCTTTGTAAACATGTGCAGACCCTCCTTGGCCCAACCTTCCATCATCTGCAAAGCCATTGGTAGTTCTAATTTCTAAATACTACTTGGTGTGAAAATTTTCTGGAAAAGCCTCCTCTCTCAAAATCACTGTACACAGAAGAGCAACTGTGTATTGCATTTGCACGGCCATTTTGTTCTACATTCTTACCATACCTCCTTTTCAGCAGAAACCAACCTGTAACTGAATAGAAGAAACAAACCGAAGCAATCACTATTACATATGTCCCCCAAATCTTTTTACCATGGCTTACCTTCTTCCCTTGGTATCCAAATTTGAAGTGAAGTCCCACGATTTAATGGTGTTATACTCCGGGTACTCGCCTGTACCTGCTGAAAATCCAATTATGACCCACTCTGAGAGAGTTTCAGACAAATCTATCTGACAAGAGAGGGAAGAGTCATAAAAACGGGGTTTTCAACGCAAGTCCAGAACACACTCAGGTTTTTGGTAGTGGCATTATAAGTAATCCAGACATTAGCTAGTTTTCCACTGTTTGAGCGAGCATCCCATCGGGTAGGATTAACTGATGTTAAAGAGTTGTTGGTGATTCACACATGCTCAAATAGTGGATCCCAATCTGCATCAGGATAGCTATCAAACTCAACCATGATGATGTGATTTTGGGATGAGCCAGCCCTGGTAGTTGAGTTTAGTAATCCAAAAATCCACCAGCCGAGTTTAGTGGTATTGGATAGCCAACCGGAGCAAGGCCATTTCCATAAAGAGTGGCATTTTGAGTATCAATGATGAATGAGAAATGCGTACTGAAGCAACTGCCAGTGTAGAAGAGTCACAAAGGGGGACACGGTGAGCATAGATAGCCCTGCCAATTCGACATAGATAATCAAACCTGTTGAGTTCCATGGCTCCACTAGAAACTGTGGCATCACCTTCATAAATAATGTTACTAGAATCAGGATTAAAACTGGTTATGTTAAAAGAAAATGAGTGAACAAAGGGAAGGAAAAGATGGACGAAAACGAGGAGAAAACTTGAAATAAAATTCATATGGTAAAAGGGTAAGAGGTGATAATTTGGTTGCAGACCAAGAAATAGATATCTAGTTGCCCCTCGGAATATGAAACTGCCACTGTTATATGAACTGGAAGTTTGTGTTCTGATTTTGATAATTTTATGAACAACGGACAGCAAAATGTTAAGACAATACGAGGAAGCTGCCATGGATGGAATCTACAACAGAGGCAGCTCTGGCCTATTTGAATGTCCTATATGTTGCTTTCCAATCTCCTAGGAATAAACGAATACTAATTCGACATTTAGACACGTGACCAATACCCAGGTGATTTTCTATGTCCGAAAATCCGAATAACCAACCGGTCCACTGACTGAACTTACGATGTTTTTGCTCAGATTTGTTTACTACACACTTAGATGAACAATCCAATCGTCCACAAATCTACCATCTGTCCCCGTCATTTCTACTGGCAATATCCAATTAATTTATTCCTTTCTGTTAGTATGACGTTGATGCTGCTGTTGGTATATGCCTCCTAGCTGGCTCCTGCTCAACCAAGAAAATTTGATACAGCAGAACAGAATTCATTAAAGGTTCATAAGAATTGGCTGGCTTATTGCTGATTTGCCATTCTTTGATTTCTTTCCTCCCACACTCTTACCTTAAAAGAAAGACAAAAGGGATTCTGCAGGTTGCATCCTTGCTAATGTTAGGTGTGTCGGAGACATGCTGAAACCATAATCGATTTTTAATTTTTTTCAAGTTAGCCGCAGGCAAAGAGAAAAATAATTCATGCCATAATTTTCAAGTAAAATTTGCAAAAATAATTAAACTATCAAATTCTATGTAGGATTGCTAGTATGCATAGAGAAAGAAGGAAATTAAAAAAAAAAAATCAACATGAGAAGAGATTTAATGATTCTCAGATGAATGGGAATTTTGGATTTTAAATTTGGCACTTACTAAACAGTAAAAGAGTTTAGAGTTAACAATTGTAACATTTTTATTTAATAATACAATAAATAATTTTTTTTGATCAACAAAGGTTGTAATTTAGGCATAAAAAAGAAATTACAAGTATTGAGATTTAAATATTAAATATATTTAATATTATCTCTTAAAAATGATTATATAAACTTATTGAATATTAAAAAATTTTATTATTATAATGTAAGAAAATGTAATTGCTTCCTAAACTTGTTTTGTGAAATTCTAGTACAGAAATTGTTTATTAAGTATAAACTTTACATTCAACTTCCTGATAATCTCCTACTTTGATAAGAATTATAATCTTATACTTTGAAAATTAATTTTTCAATAAGATATTTTATTTACATAATTTTCTGTAGCATATAATATGACTAAATTGAATAAATTTAAAGGTTAGGGTAAAATTAGGAGATTTGATTAAAATGTCAACTAAAACCTCTTTTAACTCCGCTTCCCTTTCTGGTTCAAGTTCCGTTTCGTAACAAAACTAAAACAGAAAGCCGCTCCAAACACAACTGAACACTCGAGCCGGCGGCGGAATTAGAAAAGAAACCCTAAAAGCCCTAAAGAAATCCAAATCCAGAAACTTGCCTCAAATTTTCATGTCCCCATTAATCCGACCTGAAGATCCACAAACTAAAACCCAAAACAATATGGGTCGACCCGAGCCATGTGTTCTATTTTCTCAGACTTTCGTTCACGCTCACTTGGACGAATACGTCGACGAGGTAACTCTATTTTTTGGTGTGATTGTTTCTTTCTTTTTTCTCGACATTTTAACATATAATTTTTATGAATTGGGTAGCAAGGAAGAATTAAAAAGTCAATATTTTTAGTGTTAATTCAGGTTTTTATTGAATTATTAATCGGTTTTTGTTTATTGATTGAATGGAGCATTACATTTTCTTTTTTTTTTGAATTAATTATAGTTTTTGGTTTGTTTTTATTTTAATTTGTTGTATTTAAATTTTTATTTTTAGGTTTTGTTTGCTGAACCCAGTTGTTATAACTGCGTGTGAGTTCCTCGAACAGAATGCGTCCTCCGCCTCTCAAGCGGTAACACTTGTTGGGTATGTTGAGCTTACTACTGTATTTACAATTAATTTTCTCATGAGAAATGTTCCTTGCATGATAATGGCAATGTTATGGGTTTTGTGTTCTTCGTGTGATATAATTGACTTATGGGTCATTAGATGATAAGAATTAGGAATAAGATTGGCATATCCGTCTTGCAAAAATATAGTACTTTGTTTTGTTGGCATGATGTAGTTGAGATTTGAATTTGGCACTTAGATTACGTTTGGTTGGAGGGAAAGAACAGGAAGGGAAAGAATGGTTATGGTACGGAGAGGTTAATTGAGAGGGAACAATGCATTTATTGAAGAATATTGTTTTATGGGCATGGAAAGATATCAGATCTTCGTTTTCTGCTTTTGTCCAATTTCTCTCGGCCAACGAGTGGCATTGTTTCTCTCTCATCTTCTCCTTTTTCCCTGGGAATTTTTCTTCCTTCCCTTTGCCTTCCTATCAAAGGAGCTTTAGAATTAAAGTCTTACATAACTTGCATCAGATATCTTGTTTGACGTGGTAGATGTGAAGTTTTGAATTAATTAAATGACAGATTCAAAATCTGAGAATTGTTGATTAGAAACAGTAATTATTGTATCACAAATATGTTATTCCAGTATAGTTTTGTTATTATGAACATTAATAAAAAGTTTTAGCATGTATCTGATGTTAGGGATTAGCGACATGCTAGTAGAAGAGGTATACCTTATTTTTAATTGGTGCAATTTCATAAATTTGGCTATTGAGCTGCTCAATGTTTGGAAGTATTGAGGTCGGTATTGGAAATCCTGATTTTTTATGCTGTAATTTTACAGGGCCACTTCACCTCCTTTCATTTGCTTTGGAGGTGTTGTTCAGTGCGAGGGAGAGACGAATTTAGGCGCCTCTGTCAGCCTTTCTGTATTCCTCATTCTTCATCAAATGTGCTTGAAGTGGAGGTGATTCTACATTTTGACCATTGGGATTTTTGAATTCTGAATTTCATTTTGGTTTTCAGTTTATGCTGTCTCACTTATACCTTGGTTTATGTAAGAAGACAAGTGTCTCCATATACATGTATTTTATGTACAGCTATGCTTGATTGATGAAAATAAAACGTTTTAAGAAAGAGATGAATTAAAAAATCTTTTTTTATATTTGCTAGCATCAGCAATTTGATTGATGCATAATGCAATTTAACAGTTGTTGAGGCCATAAAGAACATTTAACATCTTTAGTATATGGTAGTGATCCTGGAAATATTCATTGCATATGGTCAATCCTGGAATATGCTCAGTACAGGTTATCTTCGCGTCTCCTATTTGCAGTTACCTCTCCTTTGTTAACAAAATGAAAAATTTTAAGCTTCCTAGCTATGCATCTTGGTGTGCTTTAATATTTGTGAAAGCTATATGCCAACACTGAATTTTCTTTAAAATTGTATGGTTATTTTCTGCAGGCCAGTTGTAACCAATCATCTGGTTGTAAGAGGTAGCTACCGGAGTCTAAGCTTGGTCATATATGGAAATACAGCAGAGGATTGGGCCAGTTCAACATTGAATTTGATGATAGCTCTCCTAACTAATCTTGTTAGCTCTACTGACGGAAAGCGTGAAGACCTACCTCTTCATTATGCACATTTAATCGGACATTTGAGGAATCTTTATCTTCTCTGAATGTTTTATCTTTACCAGTAGTCACACTAGATATATCCATAGAGGTTAAGCAATTACTACAGCTAATGTTGAAAATTTTGGAATTGTCAAACCTTGGTTATGCAGTAGATAAAGTTGTCAGTGCTGTAGCGTTAGCTGCTTCTTCTCTCATAAACTTAGATTCTAATGTAATCAATCAGAAGCATCTTATGTCAGGAAGAAACAAAGATTTTAACGAGTTGGACCATGGTATTAGTGAGGCTAGAAAAGAGCTCCTTGAGCTCTATGAGGCTCTTCAATGTAAAGCTGTGAATGGATCCTCTGAATCATTGACAGAATTCAGCTTTATGGAGTCTGATGCTGATTTGGCTTCTTCCAAACAGTTGGTGGAGATGTTATCACCATACTTCATTTCAATAGGAGCTCCTCTAGTTTTGGACATCACCAGCTCTCAGAGGTAATTCAAATAGAGGCTGCTATACTTGTTATATCATCTATTGGCATTCCTTCTTGAATTTAAAGATAGAAAATTACTTCAGGATAAAATGAAAGCTCATCCATATTTGATATGCTATCTTGATTTACAGAGTAAGAATGTCATCTTGGGGTTGAATGTGGCTCTTTTCTTGTGCTCCAGTAAGGAGAGCTGCTTTTACTTTGTTAACTGTGGTGGTATGGATCAGCTTGCATATCTTTTTGATCATGAGATGCAGAAATCTACCGCCATTAAATTGTTGCTACTTGGAGTTATTGAGCAGGCTACACGGCATTCTGTTGGATGTGAGGGATTTCTAGGTTGGTGGCCTCGTGAGGATGAAAATATCCCTTCCGGCACTAGTGATGGATATAGTCACTTGTTGAAGTTGTTACTGCAAAAACCACAACATGATGTTGCTTCTCTAGCAACTTATGTCCTTCATCGACTTAGATTTTATGAAGTTGTTTCGAGATATGAGGTATGCTTTTAAGATGGTTGTGCATTTTTGCTTGTGCAATTGTTTATATCTGAGACAATCTTAACATTACTTCCTTGTAATTTTATTCTTTACCAGTGTGAAGTCATACCCATACTGGGTGGCCTGTCTGCTACTGCTAAAGGGACAAGCATTGCTTCAAACAAGCTCATGGATGTTGGATCACTACTTAAAAAGCTCCTGGTCGGTTGTCAATCTTTCAACTGCACTTCTTTTTTCCTGTTGTTTGTGAAATATGTGGTAGTTACTCTAAATGTAATTATTGTCATGTTCACAACATTAATGCAGCATTTGATAAATTCAAATGGCCCAATTGAAGATCCATCTCCAGTGGCCCACGCAAGCAGATTTTTGATTCTTCGTCAAACTGATGGATTAGTATCATACAAAGCAACCAGTGGGTTGATTGCTTCATCAAATTGTTGCTTTTCAGATTGGGAAATTGACTTGCATTTGCTGACACTTCTTAAGGTAGATTGCTCAGTTAGCTCTTTTGCACTTTTTGAGTGTTTCATATTATGCTTGTTGCTTTTGCATATTTGATTTCTGCTTATAGCAGATGATCTGTTTTGAGACAAATGCTTTGTTTATCTATCTTTCAGAAGTGTTATGATTTAAGTAATGAATGCAACCTTCACGCAATTTGTCTTTGCATCATTATTTTATTTCTTTTACTTTATATTTGGTATGCAAGATGATGAAGTGGATATGATAAGGTTAGAAAGTGGACAATCTTATCCTATATGATGTTTGGCTTATGCAATATCAAAAGTAGAATATGATAATATTTATTGCATGCCATGTTTGGTGCAGATACTATTAGAGTTAAAGACATCTTTGTGATGAAGGAGCAGTGACCTTAGCCCTTTTTTTTTTTTGTTAGTTGCTATTGGTTTTCCATGGGATTCCTTCTTGAAATCCCAACTTAGCTTTTTTGCATTTCTGGTTATTGAGCTGATACATGGAGTGTTTTTTATCTTTGGTTGTTATGGATGGCGTAGTGCTACTCTGCAAGTGATCTATTCTTTTCCATTTTCATTTTGGGTGAGGTGGGTGGGTCTTGATCAAATTTTAGTGGTTCTATTATTAATATTGAAACTGTCTCATTGGAAGCAGGACAGAGGATTTCTTCCTTTATCAGCTGCACTGTTGTCAACAACTATTTTGCATTCTGAAGCTGAAGATATTGTGGACATTTCTATGGAGATTGTGTCATCCATTGGATCCATAA